CTAGGAATGCAACTTTAGTTTGTTTAACCTCATTTCCTAAAGAAATAAAGTGTATGCAGTTAAATTGTCTCTGTGTGCACACAAGCTTTCTTTCTAACTTTGGACCTTTCTGCCAGTTGAACTGTGTTTCACAAAGATAAAGTTCTGTTGAGCATCTGAAAAAAGAATCCCAACCACTGCTGTGCTCTGCTCCAGTCTTAAGCATAAGATACTGGAGAGTCTACACTGCCAGTGCCCTCACCCAGCTGGATCACAGCTCATATTGTGCTAAATGCTGGTGACACAGAAGCTTTGGAAACTGTTTGAATTTCAGGGTAGGATATGGGGTTTTTGTCTTTTAATTTTTTGTTCTGGGTGCCAGTGAGGTGCCCCCACACCTGGGCTGCCTCACACAAAAGATCAGGAGTAGACTCAACTTTGCAGCAGCTCTGTGAGGCAGCGGCCTGGCAGCGAAGCGGGGGCCATGTGCTGTGCAGACCATTGCTCTGGACTGCAGCTATGGAGGGGAACCCAGCCAAAAAGGACAGAAGGCAGAAAAGAGACCCTGCAATCTGTTGGAGGGGTTGTACTATAAACAAGAGCAGGAAGGCTTCAGCATGCCAGGGAAGAACAAGCTGTGTAGATAAAAGAGGCTGCTTCAAAAGAATAGAGGGGGACTAATTTTTCTTGCACTGGGCAGCCAAAAAGAGGGAAAAAGAAGTGGTCTTCACTGAGCTGGCAGTCAGAGGAGGGGAGCAACCTTCTCATGCTAGAAAAACTCACAGAAAAGTCTCTGCAGGTTCTTCTTCTCTGCCCTTTCATCAGAGTTTCAAGGACAGCAGGATTCAGCAAACTCCAAATTTTGTCTTTGGTGCTACAAAGATGCTCACGGAAAGGGCCTGAGATGTCAAATGGGCCAAGTGGCCATGGTCCTTGATGTGCCTCAATGGCAGAGGGAAAGTTGGGGGCATTTACAGCTGTCAAAGAAAACAAATCCAGGGAATTATAGGGGATACAGGGTCAGCACCTCCCCAAACCCAAGCACACTCTGGCCCTCCAAGCCCAGGGCTCGAGTTCCCCATTAGGCAGTTTTGACTTCCTTAAGGATCCCAAACCAGAGCAGAAGAAGTACAATCCCACAGCCTACAGAGCACAGGTCTTTTAAAGAGTATTCAGGTCAGACCCTAGCAGCCCAAAATAAAGATTTCTCCATCTGGAACCAGTTCTGACAGTCCAGAGGCCTTCCTCTGACTCTCCTGCACCACAACCTTCTCTGAAAAGCTGACCTGTATGTCCCCAGTCACACCACTTGACTGGTCTTAGCTGGGTACAAACTGATAACATGGGATTAATTTATTTTAGAAGGTGAAACTACAAGTTCTCCACAGCTAGTCAAAGACTGGTACAACTGGACATTGGTTATGGCGTCCCTGAGCTCAGTGTGGGCTACCAAAACCCTCCCAGAAGCTGGGGCATCTCAGGATCCTTAGCCTGGGCTGATTTCCAGTTCTCTGCTGGATAGCTTTGCTCCACACAGCAGCCCTGCATGCAATTCAGCCCCAGCAGAGAGTGCGGGCTGGCCACACATCCAGGAGGAAGGAAGTGAGCTCTGTTCATGTGGAGAGCCACCAAGGTGTGCTGGCAAAGTGGTGAAATGGGGCAAATATTTTCAATATGACAGTAGTAGGACCTCCAAAGAGCAGCCCAAGACCCCTCAAAGGATAATCCATGAGATTCCAGAATGGCTCTGGAGTTTTGGGAGACTCATATTAGATATGCTACCCATATAAGATATACAATACAGGCAGTTCTGGCTTATTTGATGCCAGCAGTCAGCCAGCCAAGGCCCTTGAGAGGAGGTCTAGAGCATGATCCAAATGAGACAAAGCTTCTGCTAAGAACAACACTGAGAACCCCATTTCCTTAATTTTTTTCACTGATGGGAGCATTTCTTTGGAAGGATGTGAACATTTCCTCTGCAGCACAGCTGGGGTGCACCATCCCTCCCAGGATTTTCACTCTGCATCTCTGCCCCTGACCCAGGATGTGGAGGGTGAGTCCAAGCCACTGCTGGAAGCATGTTCTGGCTGAAAGGACACCTGGAGTGCACCAGCAAACTGCTTGCAAGTGGCCTCTCATTTTGTAGGTCTGTTCTCTGCATGGCCGGGCTGTTCCTGGTGTCTCGCTGAACTTGTGCCACATGGAGCAAATGCTGCAACGTCTGTCTGTGTCTGCCTGACCGTGCCACTCAAGGGCTCTCTGCAAACAGTGCTCTGCTCTCAGTATTTGCATGAGCTGGGACAGTCCTTGGATGGGGCTTTTCTCACTCCTCCCAAGTTGTTGGTTTTTTTCCCCACAGGATCTCTCAAAGCATAAGGAGCCATCTCCAGGGACCTGGAACTGGATGGCTGCTGGCAGGGAGAAGGTGGCTGGAAACAGTTGCAGGGTTATGCTCTGCACCTTCCCTCTTCCTCTCATCCATATGTGACACTGGGATCTGGTTTAGCTCTGGGCAGTGAAAAGTGTGACAAGAAAGAGAGAAAAAAGGTTTCTCATCCACTCCTTTCCCTCTCTGCTGTGCAGCCACCTGGAGTCTGCTGGCTTGCAGGGGAAGAAAAGGCAAAGGCAGAAGATCTGGACAGAGACCATGGGGCTATGCATCCCTTCCTAGCAAACATGCTCTGCAGCAAGAGGACCTGAAACATGTGAAAAAGTTTGGTTTTTTTGCTTAAGAGAGGCAAAACCCTGGACCCAGAGATCTCCTTAGCCTGTGGTTTTCTTGAATAGTGGTGTGTTTGGAAGTGCCTGTGTGCATGTGGCGTGCTCATGTCTGCGTGTGATTCCCAGGTGAGGATCAGCACTCTCAGGGCTGTGATGTGTGTTGAGTTGCACCTCACTCTTCCTGCCTGCCTTGTTTTTCTCCGGCTGACAAGCTCCTGACTAATGGCAGTCACTGCTGCTTAATCAGGAAGCAATTTAATGATAACCTTTTCTAATTAACTAGCAGAGAGAAGAATGAATAAACTGTGAAACAGCCAGCTGGCTGCAGTGTCCCGAGCCAAAGGGCCTGTCAGGTGAGAGAAAATGGTGTCTGGGGACAAGGACGGCAGCTCTGGGCCTGCCACTGGGCAGGTAGTAAAATTCTGAGGTGGGAGGGGGTTATGGTGTTCCACAGGGCCCTTTCTCTGCTTTCTCCCCTGCTCTGGTCACCCACATGGGGAATGTGACTGCTCAGGAAAGGCATCTCCATGTGTATGATCAAGCCCCACGTATAATTAAAACCCGGAGAGGACCTTTTATTTGAATTTTTATTTTAACTGATGTAAATATGAATAATCACCTTATTTTGAAGATGTTCACAAAATCATAAACCAGCCCAAGTTGGAAAGCACATTGAAAGACCATCTGATCTAACCCTTTGTGGGAAAGGGAGCCAAGATGAGGTTATCTATCACCCTGTCCAATTGGATCTTGAAAACCTTCCATGATGGACCCCACTATGTCCCTGGGGAGCTTGTTTCAATGATTGATTGTTCTCAATGCAAAAAAATTCTTTCTCATTTCAAGATGAAACCTCTTCCAGTGTAATTTCTTGAACAGTGTAGGACCCAGTGCTGCTCCCTGAGGGACTGCACTTGTGACAGGCTGCCAGTGCCAGCCTGCATAAAACCCATTGATTGCTGCCTTCTGCTGTGGCCTGGGAGCCAATTCCCTCCCCATGTCACAGATCCGCCCCCTTCAGCTATCTGGTCAACTCATCCAGGAGGAGGCCATGGTCAAATATTGTGCTGAAGTCCAGGTTAACTTCTTCCACTACTCTTCCCATATGGACAGAAAATGTCATTTGGCTGTAGAAGGTGATCAGGTTAATCTGCCATGATTTCCCTCTAATAAATCTGTGCTGGCTTTCCCAATCACCTACTTCATTTGCTTGGTGATAGTTTCTTGGAAGACTGTACTACTTTCCAAGGGCCTGGAGTTATACTAATGGGCCCATAGTTTCCTGTGTCCTCTTTTGTGTTCTGCTTATAGAAAGCCCTGACATCTGTCCTCTTCCAGCCTCCAAGCACATCCCCTCATCTGTCTGGTCACTAGTACTGTCCCCAGGGATCAGTGTTGGGCCCAGTCCTGTTTATTGGCAATCTGGATGAGAGGATTGAGTTTACCATTAGCAAATTTATGGACGACACCAGGTTGGGTTGGACTGTCACTCTGCAGAGAAAGCTAGGCAGGTTGAATGAATGGGCTGAGATTAAGGTATGACATTTAATATGACCGAGTGCCAGGCCCTGCAGTTCACCCACAACCACCCCAGGCAATGCTACAGGATGGGGGTAGAGTGGCTGGAAAGATGCCCAGTGGAAAAGGACCTGGGGATGCTGTCAGACACCAGCTGAACATGAACCAGCACTGTCCAAGTGGCCAAGCAGGCCAATGGCACCTGGCCTGTATCAGGAATAGTGTGGCAAGCAGGACCAGGGCAGTGATTGTCCCCCTGTGCTCAGCAGGGGGGGACAATGGAGGAAATGTTCACATCCTTCCAAAGAAATGCTCAGGTGAGGCCACATCCTGAGTGCTGTGACCATTTCTGAGCCCCTCAGCTCAGGAAGGAATTGAGGTGCTGGAGCCCGGTGTCCCGGCTTCCTCCACAGAACGCAGCAATCCCACCGCCCCCGAGATGGCGCGGCGACCGGAAGACTTCATTTCCCAGCGCCCCGCGCGCCCCGCTCGCCGCTCTTCTCTCCCGGCGTGCTGTGCATTCCCGGCCGCTCGGTGCCACCGGGCGGTAGCGCAGGGCCTGCTGGGAGCTGTAGTCTCTCGACGGCGCTCCGGGCCGCGCCCGCCGGCGGTGAGCGGGCGGCGGAGCCTCCGCGGCGGGCGGGAAGAAAGCCTGACCTCCGGGACCGCGGGGGTGGCGGGGGGACCCGAGGGACGGGTCGGGACCTCCGTGGGGTCTGAGACGGGAGCCTGCCCGGCTCCGGGGAGAGGAGGGGGCAGAGGGTGAGCCCCACCGCCCGCAGGAAGCTGAGGAGCGGAGGGGCGGGCATCCCGCAGGACGCGGGCGGCGAGTGCATGGAGCGGGGCGGGCTGCTGGGAGAAGTGGCGGGAGGCAGCTCCTCGCTGCTGTGTGAAGGTCCATGACCTGCGAATGGAACTATCTCAGGAGGAGCTGGCTCTGTCGTATAGGGTTCAGCATGTATGTGCCTCGCTGTGTGAGATGCCCAGGAACCGAAGGTGAACAGGGAAGATGGGCATTGTCCCATCTTTGCTAAAAGGTACCCGAAATAGGATACACTAACACCAAAGGGATGTAATCCTTTGCCTCCATATGCCTTCGCAGGGCTGGCTCTGCAGTGCAGGGTTTCCTTGTGCTTTGCTATTTTATTAGTTCTCTGGGAATTGCAGAGAAGAGTACTCGAATAGAATAGGAGTTTTCTCCTTTTTCCATATATTTTATCTATGCAGGACTGGCATGCAAGGCCTCATCAGTGTCTGCTGTCACCATCTACGTGCTGATAATGGCTCAGCATTGATGTGATAGCTTTACTGTACTACTAGATTCATGTAGGATCCGTTACAGTAATACTCAATTACTAATAATGCTAAGTTATCAATACAATAGTAATCTGTGGATTGTTTTTTTGGTGGTTTTTTTTTTTTTTTCTGTAGACTGGCCTCTCTTCCTCTAGAGAAGCAGTTGCCTCTGTGATTAATTCCCAATGTAGTTTTGGTAGAGACTTGTTGGAATTGTTGAAGATGTCATCAGGCCTTACAGAGGAGCAGAAGAGGAGGATAGAGGAGAACCGGCGGCTGGCTTTGGCCAGGAGGGCAGAGAGGCTGGCAGCCCAGGGCGCTGGGCATGGGGGCATCGCTGCAGCTCCGCACACCGGGCACAGGCTGGGCAAGCCGGGCAGCTCCAAGGAGGAAAACAATCATGTTGGGTTCACCAGCCAGCCCCCACACAATCCAAACACGCCTGTGGAGCAGAGGAACTGTCTCCAGAAAGGCTATAACCATTACACAGCCAAGCAACAGATGGCTGGCTCACACAGAGAGCAGCAGAAGAGTTGTTCAGAGGACTCGGAGCAAGCAAGTGGCCTAAAGCAGTTCCCTGCGATGATCCCGAATTCTCTGAGTTATTCCCATAAACATTTCTTGGATGCTGGTAGTCAGGAAGATGGACAGCGCACTTCAGTTAATCATGGAACATTCCAGCAGCCCAAATGCAGCCCAGCGTTCAAAAACCCCACAGGACCACCTCATCCAAGATTCACTGATAATGGGCACCCTGAGGATAGTAAAGATTTACAAACTCAGGACAAATCTGCCATTAAATATGTTTCACCACCAGTCCGTGTCCTCGTGAGCGATTCAGAAATGCTGGAAAGCATGAACACAGTGACAGAAAGAACAGGAGGAGGTTTTGTCCCTCAGGCCAGGGGTGGGGTGCAGAAGCTGACCACCTCTGCTGGTGTGGGCTCTGCCTCTGAAGCTGCCTCTCACAAGAAAGCAAATAACATTACAAAAGGAAAATGTGTGAAATATGGGGAAGACCGATTCCAGGTTGAAATAGGGTACAATGCTGAACTTATTGCTGTGTTTAAGAAGGTTCCAAGCAAAGCCTATGGTAAGAATTGTTTGCTCTTATCTCTGTTTTAAATTGGGTTGAAGTTTTGGCATCTTCTGCTATTGTAGTTGCTACTTGCTCTTACCAATGTACCTATTGCTGGGGTGGAATTTGTGATATTAATGGAGGATTAAAGAAGTAAATACAGATTAAATTGGATAGGAATTCTGGACATAAATAGCTTGAGCTTGGATTTAGAAAAGAAGTCTAAAGCCTTGCTTTATGAGTAGTGCTCTGAGAAGTTAAGTGGCAACAGCTGGTCAGTTTGTTGGAAGTGAAGGAAGCAAAGTTATTCATAAACTGGCATGTGAAAATGGGTCACTTCAGCTATAGTTCAGAGTTATGAGCTGATTCTGTTTCCTGGGTGACAAAGAGCAGTGGAATCTCTCCCTTTTGTTTTTCTTCTAATATTTCACCATTATCTTTATTTGTTTTATTCTATTTTTGTTTTCTCTCAGGTTTTGCCAATCCCTGTGAATGGCTGTTGCATTCTTGTTTAGTATTCATATTCCCTGTGTTTTTTTCTGGTGTCATGTAGCTGTAAACATGGGCATAAGTGTTTTTCAGATGTGTGGCAAAAAATTTGCATGAGTAGATTGACTAGTCTTACCTCACATGAACATTTCATGGCACCACTTTTTTTCTGCCCCAAATGATTCATATTCTGCCCTATTACTCTTGCCCTACTTTAGATCCTGCTATGAAAAAATGGAATTTCAGCATGGAAGATTACAGCAGTGTCTGTAAGTAAATGTTGAATGATAAAAACAAGTGGAATCTTGACACCCCCTCCTTCCCCTACTTTCCATAGTTATTGTTTAGCTTTGTTAGTGTCTTGAGTAATAAAAGTAGTGCTACTTAAAGATAATGCCCATCTTTTAGAGAACAAGCTCATAACATTTTTCTGAATTTTGTAGTTGATTAGAAATAATTTAATTTTTCATATAGTCTAAATACCAAGCACAGGTTGCCCTTTCTCTACCATTGCATTTTTCAGCAACCAACAAGATCATAGAAAATTATCTGCTGTGCTGGTACTTGTTTTGAATTAGTTTTGAAAACTGAGTGTGTTCCAGTGGCTAATGCTTAATTTCTGGGTCCATTCATGTATTTTCTGTTTAAATAGCTCTTCTATAAACACATTTATTGTTCATTTTGTGTGTCAGAAAAAGATAAAGGGTAGTTCTCCAGAGTTTTGAGTGCGACTGAAAATGAATTTGCCCTTTTTTTGGTATAACAAGGGTGGGTTCATCTTTTTTTTCCTCTCCTGTCATCTTATTCTGGAAAGATGGAGAGATTATAGAGGCAAACACTTCAGGTAGGCTCTTCAGAAGCACACTATACTGAAGTGAGTGATAAATCACTATTGATTTCAGTGGGAACAGAATTAGGCCTGTGTTGAGCACTTTAAAAAACCACAGTTGAGTGCTGGTATTTTAGCTTCCCATGTGGGTTGCCACACATTTATAATTTAAATGCTGTTGGCTTGCTTGAAGTGTATCAAGTACAGATGAGAGCAAAGTCTCTGCACCAAGGAGCCTGCAAATGAAGATAATGTTTTTTAGAAATCAAGCATTTTTCTTTAAAGCTGTGAAATACCTGAGTACTCTATGGATGGTTCCTGTTTACAAGTGAAGACAGTATGTGACCAACACTGGCCTGTGAAATTGAGGAAAATAGTCTGAGAAAAGGGAACTAACTTAAAAGGGCCTTGAAAACGTAAAAGCGAAAGTGTAAACCAATTATTTTTAAAGTTCCCACTTGTAATTTAGTTTTTCTGAATAATGTGATTCTGTATCACCTTTTTTTTTTTTCCTTTGTAGAGGTGACCTCTAAATCAGTAGAATCTAAAATCTTTTGTATGGTGCATTAGGAGGAGAAGGTGTAAATTGATGTTTTTCCATCCCTCTAATTTAAAAATTATTTTCAGTGGGTACTTTTAAACTTTTTATTTGGAACAGAAATCCCAAATGTTTGGACTTATTCAGGAAGTCACTTATTTTAAAATAAAGTTGGATGATTCCCAAATGGTTTATTTATTAATTGATTAGGAAGAAATTGTCTGATTTTTTTTTTTTTCCTCCATTTTCACATCTTGAGCACTGAACTTAAAGTTTGTACTTTTTTTTGTTGTATATCAATTTTCTGGACTACTTAAAAAGAAGCAGAGAGGAGCATCATGTGCAGCTCAGTGCTCAAAAGACTGGATTCACCTGGGTTTATGCTAAACATATCCCAGGGAGGGGAAGTTGCCTTCTACAAGTACTTGAAGAGAGAGTGTGCTTAATGGTGCCCAGCTTTTGAGTGTAATGGACTCTGGAGATGTTCATGAATCTTTGTGTTACTGTAGTATCTGTGAGGTGGAGGCTTGGGCACAAACTTCACTACTTTGGTGCTGTAAAAAGTATAAGAAATAGTATTTCTTAACCATCAGAGTTCAGTTATAATAATAAAGGCAACACATGGGTACGGATTGGCAGAGAAACACTGGTGTGGCATGTTTATTTCTGTGGATAGCTGTGTTCTCAGGCTGACATCTGTAAAATGCTGTGTCCCTCCACTCTCCATGCCCTGGCATTGTGTCAGAAGTGGTTGCTGGGGATGGGCAGGACAGGAGTGCAGGTGGCTGGGTGGAGGTGCAAGTCTAACTGTAAGACACAGAATAAAGGGTAGTGAACTTAATTGTAACAAAAGAGATTTAGGAATTTGGACTGGAGTCCTTCCTACAGCATTCCTCCTAGGTGGATTGTCTATCAGACATTGATGAGAGGCAGGAGGCAGATTTTAAAATTTTTCTCCTTTGTTGTTTACAGAAGCACCTCCCCATATTTTCAGACACATGCTATTGATCACCATGCCCCTGTCCCTGTGATTTTCTGAGTTAAAGCACTGTAAGGCTGGGTGCAATTTACTGCTCAATGTGCTTCTGCAGATTGCTTGCCCTGGCCTAGGGAGCCACATTTTAGAATTGCTGACAGAGAGGGAGCTTAGTGCAATCACAGTGCTGGACAAGCCCTTGTTCATTTGCTATCACATGTTCCCTTTGCCCCTGCTGCATTCTCTGTGGAAAATCCCACCAACCTCCTCCTCCATGTCATTGCTTTCTCTATTCTTTGTCCCTGTGAATGAAAACAGGGAATCATCATCCCTTTTAAACTTGTGCAGGTTCTTTGTTATTAATTCTTTTCTATATCTCTGTTCTCCCTAGTGGAAGCAGCCAATCAACTTTCATCAGTAATTCTGGCACCACTGGAAGGAGAAAGTGTGGTTGGCTTGGCATCAGGCTCTCATTTTGTTGGCAGCAGGGTTGATGTGAAATCCCTCTTGAAGATGTGTAAGAGCTGGAAGAAGCCCTCAGCCCTGGTCAAAGGGAAGTGTGTGCTCATCTCCCGCCTGCGATTTGAGGTCGATGTTGGGTATTCTGCAGAAGTGATTGCAGTGTTCAAAAAGATGGATTCCAGAAATTATGGTGAGTCTCCTGCTGTGTCTGCTTTGTCATAATGGCCGTGTTGGGGCTGCTCTTGCTTCGTAGATAAGGGGTTGTGAGAGTACATCCCTCTGAAAGAGCACAGGAGAATGTGCTGTGGTGAAGATTTTAAAAGATCTTGTAGTTCTAGTTCAGTGTTGTATCCATGTCCAGCACTTTATCCCATGGCAGAACATGTCCTTAGCCTGTAGCTGAGGTGATAGTTCACATCTCAGCATGATTACATTGACATTTACTGTAAATACTGTAAATGAGGTGGATTGTGCTGATAATCTGCCATCAGTATGGAGACCATGCAAAGTTCTTGTCTTTATTATCAAATGCAGCTGGATGTTCTCTTACTTCTGCTTTACTGTGGTGTACAGTGGCTGCAATTGCCTGAGCAGATTAAGCTTACCAGGAGTTTTACCAATGTTTTCAAGACAAGTGTAACTGTAGAGCACTTTTTATTTTGGCACTCAGATTTCTGTGGTAAATATAATTTTTTTTCCATTTGTAATTTGAGAAATGAGACACAGTAATGAGGTGACATGCACAGTGATATGCATATGTCACACAAAGTCAGTGACAGCATGGAGAAGAAATTTTGGAGCTCTAGTTCTTTGGGCAGGGCCCTACCTCCTCATTGTGCCTTCACCTGACTCTGAATTCAATCCCTTTTCCCTTTCTTCTTTCCCTGGATGTTGCACACAGATGCTGCCCAGGGATAAGCCTACCAGATAGGTCTGGCATTGATGCTACATTTTGGATATTGATAAATTTCCTCTTGCACCCTCCTGAGCACTTTGACTCTAGGGTATGGAGGCACAACTGAAAGTGACTCTTTTACTGACTGAAGTCAGAGTTTGTTGATTCACAAGCAGAAACTTTGCAGACATTCTTCATCCCTTCTTGCAGTGAAGAAAAGGTGGTTGCCAAAATCCTTGAGTAGATGGGTTCATTAGGAGAGCTGATCTTGGCTTGCTCAGGTGATACCACCATTTGTAGATGTATGTTCACACTTTTAAATCTTTTCCAAACTAACTGCTTAACATGACAGCAAACAGAGGAGAATTGATTTTGATCAAGGTAATAGGTCTTCTAAAACGGACAGAGAATTAAGTCTTTTAAAAAAAAGAGACTTATGACAGTGTTTGTTGTAACTATTGCAGATATGAATACCAGAAAGTGGAATTTCCTGCTGGAGGATTACCCCAAACTAAGTGAGTAGCTGTGTTTCTCCAGTGAAGGAGAACTTTTGTGCATCAGTTTCTGTCAGTTGCCTTTTGCCTTTATGTATCTGTATAATCCTGCTGAAACTGTGACTTGCCAAACTGAAATGTAAAACTGTCTTTTAGTATGTTTTTTTTTCCTAATAGATGCAACTTTGCAGAATCATCCAGTCTCTGCAGCATGCTTCTAGCACATCTGCTTCCCAGGTTTTTATGTTTAATTGAGGTTATAGAGTGCTTTGAGATTCATAGCATTACACAAGTCCTATAGATTGTAACTATTATTTATCATCCCAGTCAGCATGCTGTGTTTGATTCAGTGCTCATGTGAGGGTTTGTGGCTGTGGAATTTGGTGGGGGTAAGTTTCAGAAGGATAATAAGCCAGGTGCTCTCTGCACATCTTGGAAAGTGTGAGTGTTTCAGAGGTGAAATGCTGTTGCTCAGAGTGCTTGTTCTCCAGCATGGGCTCCTCCTTCCATGGGATACCAGAGTGTGTTTAATAATTGAGTAAGTGCCTGCTTCTGTGATGCATGCCTTAATAACATTAATAATGGTTGTAGGGCTGAAAGCCCTGTGGTGGTGCTGTGTAGGAAGGCCAGGTCTTGAAAACAAGTGAGTGTGTCTTGGAGGAGACTGTTATAAAACTGCAAGATTAGGATGTTGACATTCCTGATTTTGGTGAGTGCTGATGATCACTCACAATTTGGTCAGAAGGCCTTTTGTACATGCAAAGGGCCTGACCCTGTAGCATGTGCCAGGCAGTGTGAGCAGGCACATCACCTCCTAGTCTGTCATGGGATCAGTCATGCTGGCTGGGAGTTGTACACATTACGTGAGGTATTCAGAATCCCACAGATTTGAGGAAAGGAAAATAATTCCATTAATCTTGCAGAGTGTAATTTGTGAGGGCATTTGAGGATTCCAGCACGTGCCTTTTAGAGGAGCAGCATTTGCTTTGTTGCCTGTTCATTTGCCTACATCAAAATTAAAAAAAGAGAATTTGGGCTGGATGCCATTTCCAGCAGAGAGATCTGTTAGCTGGGAACTGTTTGTAGAGGTTAATGTCTCTTTGCCTAGTTGCTCAGTCATCTTTATATAAAGGTCACTTCACTAAAAACTGTCTGTTGGATGAATCATGCTGGTGGCAGATATATCTTAATCACTCTCCCAGCTCAAGTACAGAACAATAGCAACAGAATTATCAGTGAGCAAATTGTAGCAATTATGCTAACACACAGCTCGGTCTGTGAGTGTAATAACAAGCTTTTGCTATTCTTTGGATGAAGAGAGTTCCTGCTATTGAAGAAGTATAAATTAAACCAGAGAGTTTAAAAAGTTTGGTCATTGCCCAACCACAAATGGAAATCTTTTCATATGTATATTTCTTGGAATTGCTTTCCCCCTTTATATGGCAGGGGTCCATCCTGCTGTTTTCCTCTTGGAGACTACTGAAACAAAAATACCTAATTGAATTCTGGTGCATTTACTGCTGGTATAGTGAGTTCTTATTTTAGTTGTTTTTCCAAGCAGGTTGTTTTTGCCTTCTGGACTTCATATACAAACCAACTATTAAAGAAAGAAAAGGAAGTTGCTCCCTGCAATAAAAATTTGTGCCCCTGCATTTGTGTTCCTAGTGTAGAGGTGTCTTTGATTTCATAGTCACTGGACAAAAATTATTTAATAAGTTCTCCTGGTTACAGCTCACTGCATGTTTAAAACTGGGGTTAATTTGCTTAGAAATTAACTGTTGGATTAAAAAGAAACACTTATTTTTGGGGGGATGGGATAGAGAGGCTGTTGGAGGGGACTAAAGTAAAGTTGTCCAGGAGGAGAATTGGCTGGATGCTCTGGTTATGATGTGTGGGTTGAAAAGATCAAGGCTCTGAGGTCTTGGCATAATGGATGCTGGGGATCCCTGTAGTCAGACTGGGAAGGTAAAGTTGTGAGGCTTCATGGGTGAAGGAGCACTAGTACTGAGGAACTGAAGTGGCTGCCTGTAAGCTGGTTCTGGCCTGTGAGCTGCTTCTGTCCAGGAGAAGAGCAGTGGCCACCAGCTGTGCAGGGAGGTGCTATGGGTCCTGAAGGATGGCTCTTGGAGTGCTGCTGCTGGTGGTACAAAAGCTGTTTCTGAGTCTTGAGGTGCTTCCTGTTTTCTTATCCAGTGTGGTAAAGTGGAGGCAGAACCCAACTGTGTGAATTCAGGGAACAGGAGGAGAAGAGAGTTTTCGAAATTCAAGATGAATTATATTCTTTAGGTAACTCTCTTCAGTCACTTCTGATGGTTTTGGCATGGTGGGCACCTCAGAGGTACAGAATTCTAAGGTTAAGATAAAGATGCCCCTGCTTTCTAGGCTTCAGGAGCTCTTTTTTTCAAATCTGTACTTCAATTCTGAGTAAAGTGTGCCCTAAGCTGCCCTCAGCATGAATAATCCAGCTCCAGCTGTATTAGTAGCAATCGTCTCTGAATGATGGCATCAGAGTTGCAGTTTTTTATAATCAAGTCTAAGTAAGAGGGGAGGAGATGTGATTCATCATGTGGTTCTGAAATAGACTTTAGGGAAGAGGCCAGGCTAACACCTGTGCATGATGCCATGATTTCTGTGACCTGTTTCAGGATAGGAGATGATATTTTTGACGAGGTTGAGGGTTGTGTCCTGAGATCCATAATGGAAGTTGTGTGTGTGTTGTCCTTCAGATAATGAACTGCTCTGTTCTTTGCAGTGCAAGAGTTACTGAGCCTCGTGTCCGTAGAAGTGGAGCCACTGCCTGAAGCAGTAATTAAGACCTTTGCTGCTCAGCTCCAGAGATCTCCATCACTGACAGACATTCCTGATGCTGACCTTTCAGGAGTGGACTCCAAAATTGTGACGAGCCTCATGCCCTTTCAGCGGGAAGGTGTGAAGTATGTCCTTTTGCATGCTGTTAAGCACTAGTCCTTGTCTAGAATTGTGTCATTTTTATTGGTGCCAAGGTTGCCTTCTTGTCCGTGGAGGGCTCTGCATTTCTCTAGAGTCTGGGCCTATTATACTCTGCCACTTTGGGCTTTTGATTGTTTGGTATAGGATAGTTTGTTTGGGATTTTTAAAATTTTTTTTTATTATTTTTTGGGTGACACATCTGTTTTATTTCGAGATAGAATTCATCATGAGTCAGGTGGAAAGTAGTATTTTGCTAGCCTAAAAAATTGATCAAATGATACATCTCTGATCTCCCTCTTGTGATTCAGTATGTACATATTTGTCATATGATTTTTTATTTTGTAAGGTAATTGGTTTTTTTTCCCAAGTGCATCTCTTCTGTTGTTGTTGTTTTTTGAATATTAAATACGTATGGGAAAGGACCAAGAAATGGGACCCAAGCCCTAAAACATTTTAAATTACTATTTATATGTATAGATAAAAGTTTAAATGTCCCTGTCCCTATCATATATGATCAATAGTTGTTGATTTCAATATGCAGTCCAGGACAGTCTGTACTTAATGGTCTTAAATTGCCATTATTTTTAGTAATAATTTCTTAGCCAGAATGAATTCTGGAACACAATGTGAGTAATATAATGGAAAAAATGTGCTTTAAATAATTGTAAGGTCTTGAGACTACTTCTCATATGAAATCAAAGATTTCCTATGAGAACCACAGCTGAACCACTCTGTTAAGGAGTTTGCAAGCTTTGAGAGATTTGTGGGAGTTGCTCACTTTTATGAAGTCTAAGGGAGAAAATCCAGGTTTACTGAAGAGCCCAGATCACTTCCAGGTGATCCAAATCAGAGGCTTGGTCATCACTTGTGCTCGTCTTGGTTGCCAGATATAACCCATCTCTTGACTCTTCTTTCCCTCTCTGTTTTCCCCAGTTTTGCCATTTCCAGAAAGGGACGTTTGCTGCTGGCGGATGACATGGGCCTGGGCAAGACCATCCAGGCCATCTGCATTGCTGCCTATTACCAGCAGGAGTGGCCCTTGCTGGTGATCACTCCTTCTTCTGTGAGGTTTACATGGGCAGAGGTACTGTGGGCTTGGCCATGGGCAGGGGTCAGTGAAGAGCCTCTGGGATGGTTACACTGTACTGTGCTTTGCAAAAGTTAAACTTCTATTAAGGCAAAGAAACAAAAAAATGTGCTGATTTAGAGACTTGATGGTGGGAAAATGCTTGGCATTGACTGTATGGTATATGCCTAATTTTTTTTTATTGGCTGATTTTCTTTTCATAGTCCAGCTGATCTGTTGGGAAGAGGGACAGCTAGAGAAAGTGTGTCCTCTGACCCTCTGTTAACTTTTTTCCTACAAGTCAGTTGGCTCCAAGTGGGCATTTTACTCATCAGTGTCAAAGATAATAGTTACATTCAAGCAATTGTCTGGTATTTGAGCCCATCATAGCAGTATTTGCCAGTTCCTTGGCTGGAACAGAGTCCCAGGTGCTGGGATTCTCCATTCTGTTCAAAAAGCCCCATTATCATCATCATTGTCTCTCATAATAAGTCTTTTGGCCTGTCCAGTGTATGCTGCTGACTCCTCTGAGTCCTTTATTTAATGTTGGTCAAAGCCCAAGAGAGCTTGTGTGGCTGAGAAGTGTCTTGAAATAAATCACTGCCATAGTTTGTACCCTGAGGCTGCTGGGTTGCCATAGGCTAGTGGAATGTTCAGTGTGGGAGAAAAAGGTGAGCCAGAACTTTTAGGTCAGTGAATTCCAGAGAAGGAGGAGGTGGGAATTTAGCTTTTCCTGGAATATGGCATTGATGAGAAAAGTATTGATTTGGATTTCCTGGTTTTGTGCTGTAACCAGGTTGTTGGAGCATCTCGGTGTGAGTTTTATTATCCAGTAGTGCAACAAAAGGCAGGGGGAAAAGAAGATAAAGTTGTTTACTGAGAAAGGGAGTGATGCTCATCATACTTGAAATCTCAAGGTCTGTAGACCTGTGGGACAGCACCTAACCTGAATCCATCTGTGGGATATCTACCAGGAACAATTTGTGCCTAGGTTTACTGAAGTATTGGGCAACTGCAAATAAACTTCTACCTTCTGTTTCAGGAGATTTAAGAAATATGAGGCATTTTTGTCTGGTTGTTTTGGTTTTTTTAAAATTTGAGTGCTTGATTTCTTCCTTCCCCTACTCCCAGCTGCCCAGGAGGGTCCTGTGGGAAATGTTTCATTAGGACACTTGCTTTAGAGATCTGGTTGATTTTTGAGTATGTGATGGATGTGGATGTAAGAAAAATGTGTCACAGAAATTCAGAAGGTGAAATTTATTATAGTCTGTAATCTACTCAGTTCATTCTTGTACAGATGTGTTGTACTGTAATGGTACAAGCTTTTGTGGTGTCTCTGGAACCAAATCAGCAGAAATTTTCTTCATCTTAGCAATATCAGTGTTGTATTTTGGCTTTTTGTGCGCAGGCCACTGGGTGACTTAATAGTCAAGGTGCCATGGGAAGGGACAAGGTACTCTTGGGTCTGAAGTGTTGCACCCATGTGCATTAGAATTCAGCATTGAAACTTAAATAATTAACAGGGTGGTTTCATAGCACTTCTTGTGGACTAAGGTCAGCACCCCATAAAAAATTCAGGATCAGTTTTATGATGTAAATTAGTCCCATGCCCTTTATAAAAGGATAGGGCAGTACAGTGGGACTTTCTAGGTACTTTCCTTTTGCTGCCACCTTTGTCTTAAATTCTGACGTGGTGTCAAGCACATCCTTTTTTGGGTGGTAACTAACCTTGCCTGCACATTTGCTCATTTGGTGGTGCTTTCAGTGAGTGGAGAAGGATAGTTCATTGTTACTTTCTCACATACTGAGAAATGTGAGAAGCTCACTTTTAACTGCTGCTGCATGAGGTTGCTGAACAGTGGAGAGGAATGATTGTGGTCTGGGGATTCCAACAGGCAAAGCTCCTAGAGAAGAGATGCCATTTCTCATCACCATTTGGTTGCATGTCTGTAGGGACCAGATCCTGATGGGCCCAGACAGTTTTCTGCAGAGCAACATCAGCAGAACTCAAATGTTGCAGAGAGCTTGGTGTCACTGGGGACAGAATTACAAGGGAAATGGTGGGTGGTCTGGCTAACAGATGGGTTTGGGGGAGGATATCTTGCTCTGGTGTGTGGAGCATTTCAAGGGGTTGATTGAATGACAATTACCACATGAATTTCAGCTGCTGTCATAGAGCAGCTGGTGTGTTGTCAACTTGATCTTTTCATTTTGGTTTTGTTTTTTTGGTTTTGGGGGTTTTTTGATGGACTTTTTAAGAAGAGGAGGTAGTGGAAGGGTTTTGTTCATCTGGATGAGTTGTAGTTCACCCTCACCGTGGAGGAAACGTTGCTATAGTCATAGATGTTTACTGCTTAGAAGTCTGTGTTTCACAGCTATAGGTTTCTGTTGAATGGGAAAACTAAATTTCCCTGTAAGCAGTGGTCGCAGTATTTTCTGTCTCTGAGCATAGCAGGTACCTTTCTCAAGAGGTTATGCACATTTCCAGTAAAGATCAGATTTTTGTTTGTTTTTTTGGAGTATTACTGGGGTTGGTTTGTTTTTCTTTTTTTTGTTGGCTTTGGTTTTTTTTTTCCACTAAGAGGAATAGGGTTTGAGCTTTCCTTGCTATATAAAGTAGATGTTGCCTTGTAGCCTGGGTTCTGTTCTTGATGTTGCCATTACCAGGGGGGTTGCCATGGGAAGGCTGCTTACCCTTACTGTGCTCCAAAGCAATGTCTAATGGTGGATGGGGTGGGTCCATGTTCTAAATATTCATGAGGATGTTCTGTGTAGTGCTTTGGGATCTTGACAAAGAAGATAAGCAGCAGAACGCAATTAATTTCTTTCCTCTTCCTCCAGGCATTCCACAGATGGCTTCCATCCTTGAGTCCAGGAAGCACCAATGTCGTAGTGAGTGGGAAAGACAGCCTAACAGGAAGCTTGATCAACATCATCAGTTTTGATCTCCTCAGCAGGATGGACAAGCAACTTAAGAGCACATTCCAAGTAGTTATTGTTGTAAGTGGTACATGAAGATCTTCAAGTTAATTGTATGCTGCAAATGGGGTAGCCTTTGTACAGCAAAAAAGTGTGAAGTGGGCCTTATTTAGAGCTGAAAGTATCATGTAATTGTGGCTGTGATCACAGCTGTCTTCATGAGCACAGGCATGAGGTTTCTCTGAAACTTGTTGAAATAACTAGTAGAGTTTAATTCCTTTGTGATTCCTAAGGCTGTCTTTTCACTTTCTGGTTATGGTGCCTCTCTGATTTCATTGTGCTTGCTCATGTCCTCTGCTGGAGAGAAAAGTGTTTAATGTGGTGTGTCAATACAGTAGTCATGGAATTGTATCTTCTTAAGTCTTGGACTTCAGGGTGGTGTTAGTGTTTATCCAGTAAAGCAGATAACCTTTCAACATCAAGTATGTGGGTAAAACATCAAAAACATCTCCCTTAGCTTGTGTTCCACTGACAATCTGCATTAAGCCTTCTTTGATCATTTGTATAGTTTCTTTTGTAAATTACTTCAAATTCCAGTTTTTATCTTTTTATAGAGCCACAGTAAATGGAATTTTTCTGGATTTCAGTTACTAAAAATTCAAAACATCTAGTGTTTCAAATCCAGCTTGGATCAATAGAGAGCAAAAGTGTACATGTAGCTTACTATGGGTATTTGATGTTTGCAGTGTGGTTTTCAGCACACATACACACCTGCCCAAAGATCATGACAATTGGAACATACTAATCTTTCTGTTTTTCAGCATCAGATGGGAATGTGGTAATAGATGGAGTTCTTTGGAGACCAAGCTACTCATGGGGGAACTGATCTTTTTCATTTTTATATTTTGTCTCCTACACACCCTGACTAAACATTTTGTCAAGGTGGAAATGCAGATTATTATTTTTGTAGGCTCAAGGCTACAAAAAGGTTTTAACCAGCCCTCAACTGGCAAATGGTCTTTCTGTATGTTTATATGTTCAAATTTGGACCCTTGGTGGGTTTTTACCGATGAGAGTAGTCCTACTGTGTGCTGAGCTTTCCTGCTTTTTCTTCCACTCTTCTTTTGGTGGCTGGGAAAATTAATGTAGCTTATTTGTTATTTGGGAGGGAGAAGGCTGTGCTGAGAGGCTAAGCACTTACATTGTCTTTGCATGCTTGTTTCTACACACATGAAAAGATGAGAATATACCCTGGGAGGATGCCAGCTGCTTTTTGTGCCTTAAATTCTGCCTTACTAGAGCAGTAAAAGTGAAGCCCATTTGAGGGTGATGTCTAAAGTAGGAGACTATTACCCACCTGGTGAGCCCTATCAGCAGAACAGTTGGATCTTAATTAGATTTCTTTTTTCCTTATCATTTGCATTAACCCCTTATTAAGGGAACCAGAGCTGTATAGGTCTCCTATGTTTGCTGCATTTAAAAGATACATAGGGGCAAATGAGTATCAGTTATGGAAATAATATTCCTCTTTCTCCTTCCCTCTCCAGCCCCCTCTGCTCACTTTTTTTTGGCGTTCATTTATGATTCATGCCTGCAAGGTTTGATTTTGTTCCATTTGATTGCAGCTGCAGGTTGGAGTGCAGGAAGCCTGCTACTCTGCATCCTGTCTTTTTGTTTAGAATTTGATGTGACTATTCCAATGCCTGAAATATCCTGAATGAAAGGCCTGTAATGCTGGATAGCTGAGAATACTGGGAATTTGTTCTGTAACCTGCATTTTGACTATGGATCTGAACTGACTTTGCTTTCATGCTTGTTTTGTTTCAGGATGAATCTCATTTCCTGAAGAACACAAAAACTGCACGCTGCCAAGCTGCCATGCCTCTACTCAAGGTGTGTTTGCTGGGTGCCAAAGCTCTGAGTGCTAACCTCGGGCTCCCAGGGCAGTGGAGCTCCACTTACCAGGTTTAGGAAACAGCAGCTGAATTCTTTTGGTGTGTAAGGGGAAATTTGGGTAATAGTGTAGATCCAAAACTGAAATTGGACTTCACCACTTGGTTCCATACAAATATTAGATGGTAAAACCTAACAAAACAACTTCAAAAGCTAGATATAATTGTGGTACTGCCACTGATGGGTTCTGTCATGACAGGGAAAGGGGAATGTCAGAACTTACTGGATGTATTCAGGGAGAGTAGACAGAATATAGTGGTGTCAAAATAGCTTGTTAAATGAAAATAATCATTATCAGTTACTTCTTAGCACACAGATTGCTGCTGCATGTCAGAGTGGCGTTGCCTAGGGCCCTTCCCTGGGTTTAGGGTTCTAGACTGTTACTGCAGGCTTCCAGTGTACATGTATGTCTGATTACATGTACAGAGCTACTGGGAAGTGGCAGAATGTGAGGTTAGTGGGACAAGTGGCCCACAAAGGGAGGCAGTAGTCAAATATAAGATACCAGGAGAAATGTAAATTCTAATATTTGCCTGTTGTCCTGGGATCAAAGACTCAAACTCACCCTGGAAGCCTCTAACAGATACAGATTAAAGTTAGGGGTAGTTTCTAGACACTGCAGTCTGTACTTTGGAAGAAGGTAGATGCAGTTCCTCTTCAGCAATTAACCAACAGTATGTATAAAGGGAAGATCTGATCTGTGATGGCTTTATAGCAACCACCTTTAATGTGCAAGATTCTTAATGGCTTGCTGAAGATGGTTGTCCTTGAATAACTTGGTTGTTCTCCTTAAAGGCCTGACTCTTCTCTTAGTTTTCAAATCACTTCAGGCTTTTAATGCTTGGAAGCTTAAGTGGGAGGTCCAATTCTGTGAGCAGTTTGAAATACAGTAATTAGGGTGTATGACTGAAAATCGTGGAAAATAACAAATTTGCCCTCATTTTGAGCAAAATGCTCAAAAAACTGCCTCATCCTTTGCTACTTGAAGCTTTGTAAGGATCAGCTTGTCAAAATTATTTTCAGGCTGCAAGATATGAGAGTGAAAGATGGTAGCTGTTAGGCAGAGGTTAATTGCCTGTATGCACTTCCTGAGAATTTACAGTTTTATGCTGTCACATCACTGGTCTTAAAGAATTGAGAGCTGATGCTTCTGAAACTGAATTTCAGTCTTCTGAAAGCATTAAGAGTTTCATATTCATATGAAACATGGTGCATTATCTCACCTGCAATGAGCATGCAAAACCAGATGTTTTGTGTTAGATGTTCAGGTAAATTCTGTTTGCCTGCTTGCTGACTAAAATTTCTGAAGTACTTGCTGTAATAGCCATTTTTCTTGCTTTCCAACATAGGCATTTTGCTCTAAAACTATCCCCTTTGGCAGGTGTGTCTTCAGCTCCTAGTGAGTGATGCTGTGGTCATTCCTGGCATAACACATCACACCAATATTTTTGTATTTGAAAGAACTGCCAAAATATCAGGAGCTTTCATCACTTAAATACTGAATTTAACAACTATACTATGTGATACCTATAGTAAATAGCCAGTGGGATGTAAATGGAAGTATTTTCATTCTTTTACACGATACCTTGAAATTACTGAATAAGAGGTGTGGCTAAACCTGCTGCTGAGGATAATATTCTTGTTCTTGCCTTCTTTATGTTAAAAAGGTTTGAGCAGCAGTAGGGCTCTTAGAAGAGAACAGAAAAAGATGTAACTGTATAAGCAAGTCCTTGAGAGGTAAACTGCTTCTAGTACCCCAGTCCCTACCTTAAGGTTACAGTATGCAGCTGTGCCAATGCTGTAACCAGAGGCTCTGGAGCTAGTGCATGCCTTGTCTACCTTCTGAGCATTGCCACTTCTGTTAGCATAATACTGCTTTAAACTAGCTGAAATTGCCATAGTTGCTGGTATTTCCTATGAGGACCTCAATGTCTTAAAGCATAAAACTTGAACGGACTTTTAGGGACCAAAAAAAAGAAATCTACTTAAGAAATGTCATCCTTGGCCCTAAGATGCTGCAAAGATTTGAGTCCATAATGACACTGGACAGATCTAAGTTAAAATGTTTTGGAGAAAGCAGTGTTTGTCAGTTCTATCCATCCTTAATTATTTTTTTTTTCTTGATAGAATCTGCACTTTCGACTTCTACATTTGAATAATAAATGAAATACATAAGTTGTTGCAAGCGTTTATACAGAACTGCACAATAATTGGATTAAATTGGTACATTGATAATAAAGATGACATACCTTAGATATTAGTTTCTAATTTGTCTTGTTAGATAGCCAAACTGCATCTCCACCTCTCAAATCTTTATCTCATTGTTATAGCATTTAAAGCCTTATTTTAGTTTTTATGTCTGATGTTGACAGGTTTTCAAAATGGTGTTTTTAGCCAGTCAGTCATAATTGATCTTTTCCTGCTGTCTTGTATAAATTGCAGAGCAAGTGTGGTATGGAGTTGTCAACAAAAGCCATGTATTAAACATGTCACCTAAGTTTGCCCATTGGGGATTTTTAGACATCTTTTTAATATTAACAAAAGCTGCAGATTTGGTGTGTGCAGCACTCAGTATCTGTTCTGACATACTTGGCTGCTACCCTGACAGAGATTCAGAAAAGTTTTACTTGAGACAAAGGAAGAAATTTTGTAATGGCTGGATGTATGCAGTGGCTGTGTTGGCTGCCTCATGGCTCACCCCAGGTTGTTATTAGTTTAGAGTGAATATATAGACATGTTATGCCAAATTTACTGTTAGTGGACAGAACTTTGAGAGGAACTTATAATTACATGAACAGTAAGATAGAGTGAAATAGCAGCAGCAAGATGTTTAGGCCGTATATTTTATTCCCTTCATGTTCCCATGACTGGATATGCAAACTTGTGGGTGTGCAGGCTTGTACATGGGGGAGAATGCTCTGTCTGCCTCAGTGAAAGGAGGTGGTAGAGTTTGCACAGTCTGTGTGCATCCCTGCAGAATTATGGAGAAGGATGGATTTTGAAAGCTGTAGTAGAAAACAGTCCTTTGATGTTTGGTCATGTGGCAGAAATGCTCCTTTCAAAGTCAGCCAGCTTTCACACCAGCAGGTCTGTGCCAGCAGCTGCCTGAGATTTGTCTCCAGCTGCAGCAGCTCTCACGTACTCAGGGGCCAGAGGTTGCTGTGTTCAAAGTGATCTTTGTGTCTTGTTTCCATGCACATCAAAGTGAGAATAGCTTCATACTGTTGGGCTGTAGTTGAGTCACCAAAAGGCCTCGTTAGGCCTGGCATGTCCTTCCCCCAACTCAAAGCTGTGTCAATTGGTAATAGGACGTGCTTGTCATCTTGCTGTTTTCTGCAGTCTCGTGTTTGGGACTAAGTTCTCCTAGGCATACTGACAATACAGGTTTTTCCCTTCACCTCTGCCCTGGATCTGCTTCCCTCAGAGGCAGAAAGTGTCAATAGTGTTACACTTCTTGAAAGCATTTTGATTTTTGCTTCTAAGATTAGACTGGCTCAGAGACATAAACACAGGAGAGGCAGTATACATACTACCAATATCCTTAAACCAGCAAAGCCTCAGGGATGTGGATGGAGAAGAAACAAACAAAACAAAAGTTTTTCACTGATCTGTAGTAGGATCTCTCGGGGACCAGAGTGGAAAGGATTCTACTTATTTTGACCAGCCAAGGTGCTGCATGGTCTTTATTCTTCTGCAATTGCATGGAATACTGCAAGGCATGGAAACTAGGGAAGGTCCCAATGGAACATGGATGAGTTTTTTGGAAACATTACAATAAGTAGTGAAGAACTGCACTGATAAATAAAAGGTACTGTCTAATCAAAAATTCCAGTGGCATTAAAAGTTCTTATACTCTTTGTGGTCTCTATGAGCACTGCTCCCCAACACATTGATAATATTACTAATTTGACTGTTCCATTGAGCTGCTGTTCCAGTTAATAGTCTGCTACACATCCTGATGTTTGCGGGGTTAAAGGTCTTTGGTTTTGTTGTGGGAGTCCAAATACACTGTGTGGCTGGAATCTGAACCTTTTATGCTTGCTGCTACAGAGCAACTTGAAAACAGTGGAGAGAAACAGGTTCATGCTGAAGGTAGAAGGTGAGAAGGGAATACAAAAATTTCTGTTTCTGTCAGGAAATAAACAGCAGCTGTCTTTAGGTGCTACAAATCTGTATGGATTAGATAAATAAACCTTTCCTTATTGTAACCTGCTGAGAGAAGGAGCTTCATCGTGAAATTGAAGAAGCTGTGGGCCCTCAGGGCTTCATCTTCAGATCTGCTCTTACCTTCCAATTTTTTTTCCTTCTTGGAATAGGAAGGCAGTTTAATTTGTTTCAGTCATAGCTCATCACTGCTGTTTGACACACATTGTCTGTCTAGATGTCAGTTAACAATAGGGAAAAGTATTTATATTTTTTTGGAATAATTTCATCTTAAAAAATGTGGAGCCCGATCTCTTGCCCAAGTAGAGAAACAAACTCCTGAAAGCAGCTGCTACTCTTCTCCTTTACCTCATCTTCTATTTCATTAGGTGATTATTTTATTATGGTCCTTCTCAGATTTTTCATTTTGCAGGATAAGCTATTCTTAAGCTAAGCAGTTTAAAATGACACAGTAAGCAAAAACTGGGGACACGAGTAAATGTACAGCCAGAACCAGCCACACTTATTTTAAAAAGTATGTCAGTCTGATAGCATATGGCAGAGCTCCTGCTGGGAAATCCATTTAACACAGAGACAGTCATTGTATGTTAATGAGGCTCTTTGTGTGTTCGGTTATTTGTCTGTCACATAACCCCTCTGCCTGCCTACTCGCCTTTCAATTGTTGGTTGCTGGGTCTTGACCTCTAGAGTAAGTGCCATAATTTCATAAATTATTCTTTGACTTTCAGAAGTGACTTTTGTAAATGTTTTCACAGCTGTGGAATTAATTCTTGCTGGTGTATTTTGTAATGCTACAAAGCCACATTTGTCTTAGGCTACTTAGTAAATGAAAACTTCAGACCAGGTCTCCACGAACTCTGTGAACTTCATGCCTAAATGCAATTGAGCAGCTAATGTTAGTTCATCTGTGTGGAAATATGTATCAATTGATTACAAGATCTGATTTTGCTAGAAAGTCCTTTCTGGCCCCTGCAATCTTATTTTCTGTGGCATTGTTCCATATTATTGTTACAGACCTTTGAAGAAAGAGGCTACGTGCTCACTCTTGGCAGCACAGAGGGTTCAGCAGGAAACAAGAATTAAGCAGTGATCAGTAGAGACTTCTCTGCAGGAGCAAATCTTTATTGGCATCTATTCAAAATGAGTTGCCACTAGAAAAAGAAATGGGAATCAAAGCCATTTCTTTCATCCAGAATTTAAGTCAGCCTTCAACACTTGGAAATTTGTCGTCCTAGGGTTTTTCTTTTCCTTCTGTTCTTTCTTGAGCTCCATCTGTCACAGGTTTTAAAACTGAAAAGGACCTTTGGGATAATGAGTTAGACCACCTATGTTCCATGAAATATTCTGGAATTAGTTTTTGAAGTTCTTCACAGCTCTTGTAGAGTTAGTGTATTTTGGGGTATGTTTGGTTGGTTGGTTTTGTTGTTGTTGTTTTTATTGAATTTTATTTTTTACTTTTCAGTTTGCTTTAAATGGTTAATTAGAAGACATGTCACAGCTCTTGGTAAGAGCTTGCAATGGGTGCATACCCTCTCTGTTCAGAAATAACTTACACACAGCAAAACAGCAGCTGGACAAGTTAAAAGTTCAAATAACCTGTAACTTCATCATCCTCTCTTTTGACACCTATTTAGGGACTGGGGAAGGAGTCTCAATAATTGTTTTAATTACTGAGGAATTAGTGTTCCAATCTCTTCTTGTGCAGCTCCCAGGGAACACCCTCTGAGAAGCAAGAGCCTTGAGAATGGCATAAACCCTTTCAACACAGTTGGGTTTATGTTGCATTTATTATGTCCATGGTCTGCTTTGAGTGTGTTCTTGCTTTAGCTTGGTCCAGAGTTTTATTACATGAGATGTTTGTCTTCTCATGTTTCTTTTTGCCTTTGCCTTCATGTTTCCCTTTTTCTGGCAGTTACCTTCTGTTGGTCCATGAGGAACAAGTTTAATTTGGAGATTTCTTGCACTTGTGGGACTTACTTGTCTTGCTTTTTAGCAGATTTTCAGGGTAGTGTCAATTTCTTCCTTGAAGGTTTCTGCTAGGTGTCAGATATTGCCTAGGTTCTGTTCAGTTGCTCTCTAGTGTTATCTTAATTTTAAAAAAGGACCTAATTTCTGCTTGATCAGTTTCCTCATGGGATATGGTATTTCTGGTCTTTGTGACTCCTTCCTCTTTTGAGCAGCATCAGCACCTCTGTCTCGTGCAAACTCTCACCTTCTGACATGCTCAAAGGTTTAACCTCTCCTCTTGCTTAGTTCAGTAACTATTCTGCTTTTTTAAATGTTCATGGGAATTGTCTGATCCTGGTGGTGATCACATTTCCCTCTGATCTGTTTTAGTAGGGATTATTGGAGAAGGCAAGTCCCACCTTGATCACAACCTGTATATAAATAGCTGATAGGGTCTTGAATTAATTTCCGGAACTCTTTTTCCACCAGATTTGGTTGGTAAGTGGATGAAACAGCTGAATAGATCTGGATGACTTGTTGATCTCAGTGAAATGATAAAAGAATTTAATTTTCTTTTTCATTTAAATCTGAATGAGCTGTTGGTACAGATGTCACTCAACAATTTCTTTGTTATTTAAATGAACCTGCATTAAACCATGTAGGAAATTGCAAGGCATGTGTAATTTAACTACAATATGTGAATTTACATCAGTAGAAATTCATAGCTTTTATCTAATAATAGGATTAGGTAATAGTGGTGATATAAAGGTAGAAGTGTATCTTGGAAACTTTAAAGTGTAATTTTTGCCCCTTCTTCTTGGGAGCACCTACTTTAGATGCAGGCTTTCTGTCCTCTTCCTGTCTCCTCTACAACACATTTTACAATCTTCTTACATGATTTGTATTTATTCTCTCATGTTCTAGCATCCAGCCAGATGTGCCTACACTCACCATTGGATGTCAGATCTTCTTCGGGCCCTGCATGAGAGAGCTTCATTTTTTTCTCCTTGCTAGTATAATTTTTTTAAAAATGAACTAGGAAGTAAGGAAAAAAACCTTCTTCTTTGTATCTCTTCTGCTTTTGTGAGAAAGACAGTCTGCTTGTAACTTGCTGTGGCAGGTTTATTATGAGAGAATTTATTTTGGAGGTGGGGATGTACCTGCGAGGGTGTGTCATTTTCCTGGGTTAGCTGATGCCAAATGAAAAGCTGAGCCAGCCATAAGATAGGTCTGTCACAGACATCTTTTGTGAAAAATCCTTTCTTTAGGATTTTTTCCCTCTTCTGGGAAGCTGAGGCCCCAGAAAGAGAATGTAAACAATAGTTATCCGCTGCTTTGGAATGCAACAGGTGCACCTGTGATTGGCTCATGTTCCATGTTTACAATTAAGGGCCAATCAAAGACAAGCTCTCTCTGGGACAGAATCAGAGAGAGCTCCATTGTTGATTCATTCTTCTTCTATTCTTAGCATAGCAGCTTCTGAACTTCTCTCTCTATTCCTTTTAGTATAGTCTTAATGTAACATATATATCATAAATTAATAAATCCAGCCTTCTGATCATGAGATGAAGATTCTCGCCTCTCTCTTCACCCTGAAAGACCCTTGCAAGCCTGGTAACGTGTCTAGTGGGTAAATGCTGATTCATAAAGTACTGTGGTGAAAATGGATGTACCCTTGTCTTAGAGCATGGGGATGGGTATTAAGAAACTGTGTGTCCCTGGAAGTTTGAAGTACTGGTCTTGAATGTCTTCAGGCAGCGATAGGTGAAGGTGAAGCACTCTTCCATTTAGGGTACTTGAATGGGGGGTCTGGGATTTTCTTTCAGGACTGTGGTGACTTCCTAAGTTCTGCAGTTGTAAGCTGCTTGGTAACGATGCCCTGCTTGTTTTTCCCAGGCTGCCAGGAGGGTGATCCTGCTCTCAGGAACGCCGGCCATGTCGCGGCCCGCGGAGCTGTACACGCAGATCGCCGCCGTGCAGCCCGGCTTCTTCCCGCTCTTCCACTCCTTCGGCCTGCGCTACTGCGACGCCAGGAAGGTACTGCCCTGGCAAAGGGCCACGTGGCACTCTGCACACAGCACTGGCCTGTTGCAAAGTGTGGAGGCTTTTTCTTCCTTCTTTCTGCATGATATTACATCTTTTCTTGAGAAAGTTTCTCTGCAAAGTAACACTTTGGAAGTTTGTAAGCTGAGGAAGTGTAGGTGCTGCAGTGGTGGGCCTGCGAAGATGAAGACTACTGAGATGTGAAGGCAGTAGTGTTTCTTGCCATGAAAGCCACAGAAATAAAAATGGGGGAAAAAAACCTCGAAACAAATATGGCCACACCTGGTAAAAAGAGCCTATTCCTATCAGATCTTGGCCCCCCAAGTTTTTTAAAGGGGCAGAGTATCTAAGGGGCCTTTAAGCAGCTGCAGATTTGGGCTAATTAATTTTAAAAAAATTTAAAAGAGCAAACAAAAAAAACTAGTTCCTAGTCTTAGTCACTGTTTGATAAAGAACTTCATTGCTTGGGATTTTGGATTTTATACCTCCAGGTAAGTAAAAAATGGAAGGCTTACAGACTATATCTTTGTATTCCACCCTCTTCTAATTTAGAAAATGGATGCAATCCTCAGCATATTTTCAAAAGAACTCCTCTGCCAGCTGCTCAGCAGTTGTTTCCACAGAGTTACTGAGTCCAACCACTGCAAGAATTTGGCTTTGCTTGAAGCCAGCATTTGCAGCCATGATAGCAAATGTCTGCCTTGCTGCCAAGGTATGGGCAGCTCACCTGTACTTGGATTTGCCATCCCTAGGTGTGTTGTGTGTGTTGGAACACACACTGCTAAGAGAACAGTTGTTGCTGCTGCAGCTTGTACACAGAGGCTCTAGGATCTTCTGTGCTGGTTGCATAGACACAAAAGAGGGACTCAAATCTCCCTACAGCTCTAATTCAGAGTGTTCAGCAAAGACACCAAAGGACCATTTCAGTGTTCAAAATTATTTACTGAAGAGCTAAACATCATCAGTGTATGCCAGAAAAATAGTTACAGCTATTTGTAGGGCTTTTGTGTTTTTCTTTTCTGTTTGGGGTAGCTAACATATACCAAGTTTCCACCAAGAAGATTCTTACTGCAGTCTCATATAAAATTCTTGAATCCCCTTTTTCCTAGATCTGAATTCCCACTTGCTTTCATAGCCAGTGTAGTGCTGTTCTGTGTATGTGCAAGTGAGAGGAGCACTTAATTGGCTTTGGTAGTCATGTGCTGGTGCCATTGGTTAGAGAAAGGTCATTAGCATGCAGAATCACAGATCATCAGTCCTGGTCTCCGTCCATAGTAGGAATCATATGGAGGGAGAGGCCACATCTTCTGGTAAGCTTCATTATCTTTCAAACTGAAAGATTCCTTCCTGAGCATTCCTTTCAGAATGGTTCCTAGAGGGAAATGAAGAAATACATTTTAATCTTGGTTTTCTGCAGTAAAAGGGAAAGTTCATTTGCAGCATGTGAGTCTAAGCAGGTTTGGAGTTTGATAAGCCCTGTTAAGGGTAAAGTTCTGCACAAGTAGCTGTCATTTTAATTACGAGGCAGATGGACCTTGGATAAAAGAGAATAAAATTGTTTTACAGGTTCCAGGTTATAATTGTGTGTCCAGTGTAAATGACTTCTCAACCTTCAATGAAACTCAGCATGGAGGTCACAGTCTGTATCAGCTTCCCTTCAAAACCTCGTCAGGATTTCTAGTACAATTTTCTTTCTGTGTTTGACCTGCCTCTCCTAGACAGTTGAACACTGTTGGTCTTCTCCATGCTCACCTGGGACATTTTGTTCCAGTTAATGTCAGTAAATGATAGCATGAACCTAGGTGGAATTTGATTGTTTGGGAGAAGTGGGGCTGCTGGAAATGAAGATATGTAGATAGCATTAGAGACAAATATGGAACTTCTGAATATGGGTTGCCACAGATCCACTTGGCAAAGAAAAAATTTAAAAGGTGATTGTAGTTGGTTCCTTCATGACTGTAGAATATCCCTGACATTTGTTGCTGTAGCTCTAACCTGAGATTGTGTTAGGAGTTGCCTCTTCTCTGAAGAACTGCTGTGGTACTTCTGCTGTCAATACTCAAATAAATTCTGCTTTCTGTCTTAAAATTGGCAGCATTATGAGTGGAGATATAATTGCACAGAAAGGCTTTGCAAGGCTTTTGAAGATGTGTAAGGATGAAGGGTGTTATGTAAAAATGTTTTGGTATTAATAATAAATCCGATTGCACTCTTAAGATTAAAGAAAAATTGGCAAACCTGATCCATTCAATTTAAAACTAAATTCTGACTAGTTTCTGTTTCAAGATTTTATGACAGAAAATTGCAAATATCTGGCAGATCTGATTACAAAAGTAATAGAAGTTTATAAGTATTAATTCAACCTCCCAGCATCTGTACTTTTAAAAATGCAGCAAGTAAAATGTCACCCGTTGTTTACAAGATGTCCCAAGACTGTTTCCCAAAATACATGCTGTGAATTCATTTTTCAAATTGGCTGATGTTGGCAAATATTAAGTAATTTCTATCTGAGCACATGCTTTGAATTTGTAAGAGTTTGGCAGCTTCTGCTAACACTGTAATAAGTTTACTGACTCATGTAAGATGCTGTAACACTTTGGTAAGAAAATCACAGTTGGAAGCATGTGTTCTGGAGTATTATGGATCAAAGCCAGATGTGTATTTTGGCAAAATAAATGTCCCTCTTTTTTCTCTCTTTTCTTTTCCACAGTAGGGTATACTAAAGTAAATTTTAATAATTCCAAAAGTAGTTATCTCTTTATAACTAGCTAGGTGCAGCATGGAGGTAGAATTGTTTCCTTGTTTGCAAATTGTTCCAGCACCATAAGCGACATAACTTAACCATGCTGTGGGGACTCTGCCTGTGTGTGCTTTTTAACATGACAGTCGATGGTGTCTTGGCTCTGTGTGTGCCTTGTGCTTTGCCTTATGAGGATGCTGCTTTTCTGAAATCAGTTTGGCTATGAGGACACAAAACATATGTGAATGCTTGTTATGGAGGTGGAAAGTGGGAAAACATGGGCTTTTAAGTGGAAAGAGGTAGCCCAAAGGATATCCAGGCCCCACAGCAGGCCTAGCTGAGCAGCCTAATCATGTTGGTCCTTCCTACTCACCTTCCAGTGCACTGAGCAGTGTGGGCAGTGGGCTTTGGAGGCTGGGCACAGCGCCAGGGGGTCCTTCTTGGTTCTGTCCATCTGCTCTGCTGGGCCCACCCTGAGAAAGGGAGCATAAAGACTGTGGCTCAGCAATGTCAGCTTTCATGCAGAATACCTAAAGCTAACAAACCCAGGCAGACTTGAGCTAGCTTTCCATGCACCTGAGGCATGCATCTGTTTTGCACTCTTGGTTTCAGGGAAGCAGAGCAGTGATACCCATGTTGGTTTCTTGAGGGGTTGGCTGAGATCCAGGTGGGCTTATTAACTCTAGCCCTACACCACTGGGCTCTTGTCAGAGCCAAAGTTTTAATTCTATAGGATTCAAACTGGCTGTCTGTTAAGGGTTTGAATTGTTTCTTGCTTTAATGAACCAATTGTAGCTAATCAGATGGTACCATAATTATGTAGGAATAGATTAAGTCAAATGAGTTTAATGATGGCCACAGGCACCAGAATCTGAAGTCAGTTAATGGTTCACATCAGTACAATATGGCAATAGGATTGCAGATTGTTTTATCTCAACCTGAAGTAAGAACATTCACTTTTGGATACCAGAGAGGTCTTACTTGCCTATAAACTCTTTCATTCCTCCTCTTCCTGTCCCACAGCATATTCTCATCCCTGTTCATCCAAGCACCACCCCTTAATACAGTCAGTAGTCAGTGGCATGACTAACCTTATGGCTAGAATGATTTATTTTTTGTCTCATGCATTCTAGGAGAGGATGGAGGATGCAGTGAATCTTTTTCTTCCATTTATTTGTGTGTTGTAGCAGTTTTCTCTTGGAGAAGAAAAAATCAGTATAGATATTTAAGGTTAAGTATATTTTATCAATTAATGTAGCTGATTGAGGTGCTGATGCTCCTCCCATCTCCATTATATGCATTTCAGGAGGGTATATGTAGGGCTTACTTTGGATTGTTATTCCAAGACCAGAGGTATTTTTGGACATTGCCAATATTATTTCGAACTAGAGCTATGAGAAAGATGTCACCTCTCTCCCCACCTTGGTCTTTGGTATTCCTGTAGATGAATTCCTTATACTTATTTGTGAAATTGCAGCAGAAAGGTTTCTCTTTTTTTCCTTGCTTCAGCATTAAAACTGTATTGGTCTCTTCTCCGAAAGACCTTGTTTGAAAGATGCTTCTTTTGGGGAATGTACCAATTTTGATGCCAGTGTTGTTCTTTCTCAGAGAACAAAAGATAGGCTGTGGGGTTGCAGGTAGGAGAAGTGATGAGCTGAGATTAAGTGAACAGGGGTATATTGCCAGCACACAGGATCTTGGAGGATAGGCCAGCTTAAGAGGGGAGTGCTTCAAGGAGGAGTAAATGATTGGCTTGTTCAGAGGAGCTTTGAAGTGATGATGCTTTGAAGAGACAATGTTTGGAGTAGTGTCTTTTGGGCCACAGTTTATTTCTGGTTTGCTTGAGTCTGAGCCAAACACAGTAGTGGCAGAAATAGAGTTTGCCAGGAAGCAGAGCAGGAGTCAGGTCACAGTGGAGAACAGGCAGTTCTGACCTAGCATGTCAGACAAGTGTAACAACTCTGTGAAGGCATCTGGGTTAAGGATGTTTGTCCTCATGCTGGTAGAGAATATTTTTGTGTGTCTCTCTGCTTAAAGCTGAGATAAATGTGTATGCACAGAACTGCAGTGAATTCTTTTGGCCTGCTCAAAGCTGCAAGTAGAGAGCAGCAACACCTTGCTGTGTGAGAGTGAATATCAGGACACAGGGCTGGAGAAGGGATTCCTGCCACCTTTCTGCATAGTCTGCTTCCCTGCACCTCCATGGGCTCCTGTAGATAGGAAGAAGGGAAGCTTGTAAGGAACCTTTTAATGTTGAGTGGATTAGTTTGTACACTTCTACCTTATTGCAGTTTTTGTCAAATCTCCTTCTGACCATCAAGTTCTTGCCTTGTCCAGATTCCCTGGAAATTTATTCTGCTTTTGGATTGTATGCAGAGCAGTCTCTTACAGGTTTGACTGATAACTGCTTTGGTCTTTCCCAGATGCCATGGGGTTGGGACTACTCTGGATCATCCAACTTAATTGAATTGAAAATTTTGCTGGAAGAGTCCATCATGATCCGACGTCTGAAGTCAGATGTGCTTTCCCAGCTTCCAGCAAAGCAGCGCAAAATGGTCGTGGTGGCTCCTGAAGGCATTAGTGCAAAGACCAAAGCTGCCTTGGCAGCTGAAGCAAAGAAGATGGCCAAAGGATATGAAAGTGTAAGTCAGAAACTTATTTTCACGATAAGCCTTTGCTATTTCAGGTACTTTAATTTTAAAAAACTTTCATGTGAAAAAGCAGTACCCTGAGTTCCAAAGGTCAGAGCCACACCTTTATGTGAAGGCACAGTTTTAAATGAGTGTACAGCACAATCAAAACTAGCTCAGCTTGATCTGTTTTTGATCTAAGTGGTCAACTTTGTCCCTTTGTGTGAAATACTATTTCCTCTCTTTTTTTCTCTCTTGCTAGTAATTTCTAATTGTCTTTCATATCTCCTGCCTCTCTACTTACTCTCCTGTCTAGCCTTGTAATCTCATTCAGCCTACAAAAACAGACTTATTTGTGTTGTGAACACAGCAGTGGCCAAAAATGCAAAGGATCTATTTTTGCTTTTCTTGTTTGTTTTCCATGTATGGGCGGAAAATTCGTGTTGTAGGCTCCTAGGCTGCTAATACAGTTCTGTAAGAACTTGGGGGTTTTTCCTTGCCATTTTAGTTGGGACACGCTTTCTCAACTACAACTGCATTTGTGATAAATTTGTCATCCAGCTGGTAGGAGTTGAGTGGGAGGTGGGGAGGGAGGTGTCAGGGCTGTGTGAGTATCTGCTGTACCTAATGGCGAGTAGGAGACTTCCCCCCAGGCCTCTATTGTTGTGCTTTTTTAGGCTGATTATTTTTCCTAGCAAAGTGTTTACTGGCAGCAGCAGAAATACCAGATTTGTAAGCAAGAAGGAGAAGAGGCATTTTTAAGACTCAGATTTGTTTATCTCTTCCTTCTACAGAAACAACAGGAGAAGGAAGCTCTTCTTGTCTACTTCAGCAGAACAGCAGAAGCCAAAATCCGCTCAGTCGTGTAAGCTCCGTGTCACTGCCTCATTCTTGCCCAGTAAAATGTGCTTTTCTGCTGAGAACAGGGAGACAGTGCCTGAGAGATAACACTGCAGGGACATGAAGCACAGCCTCAAGTCAGCCTAGAAAAACTTGATCGTAATTACAATGTACTAAACATTTTCTTCTCATAGGGTTCTTTGGCTGAATAAGTCTTCTGATTTCATTCCAGATACAAATCTAAACTGTCATTTGAACCATTTAAAATGACTTTGTGTTTGAGACTTGGATCAAATTCCCTGGTCTGGACCCTTTTTCAATTTAAGGAGCAGGGAAATAATGAAACTAAAAGCATCAACAGAATTTGAGGAAACAAATGCTGCAGTTCTGCTGCAGCAGGAATCCTGACCCAAAAAGCTTATGAGATGGGCTTAGCTTTGGTTGTAGTGTGCTTTAGGAATCTCACAGGTCCTACTGAAATTCTTGGCTCTTCCACAGGGCTCACGAGGGACCTCAGTAGTAAAATTTTTGTACCACAGGTGTGCTTTTAACTCTCTCTTCCCTAGAAGTAGTTTCTTTTTGTGCCCTTTCATCCTTAGCCTTTTTGCTGGGACTGCAAAGGAGTTGCTTTAGGTCATAGCATAACTTTCTAATAAGTAATATGGTAATAATATGAAAATTATTTACTTTCCACAGCTCTCTGAATGTAAGGACCAACTGATATGCACTGTGTGATTTCACAGTCACAGACCTTGCTGCAAAACTTGCTTGTTTGCCACAGAACTACACTTCATACTCCCAGCATTCATTTCTGTAAAAGAGTTTCTTCCTTTTGTTAGTGAACAGTTACAAGACTTTAATGTTTTTATTATTTGGCACTCAAGTATAATGTAGGCAGATGTCTGCCTGTGGTGAAGAAAAACTGAGGGAATTTTCCTTTCTATATTTTAATCTACAGAAGACTTGACTTGCTGCTTGCACTTTACTACAGCTTTTTTATGCTAGCCTGTTTCTGAGTGTTTGTGTATAGATGGGCAGTAGCTTCAAAATTTGTTTTGAGCAAAGTTTGTATTCTCTCAGCACATAATTTTATAGTGTTTCAGTGTTTTTCCTTTTTCATGCAGAGAGTACATCCTGGAGTTACTGGAAAGTGGGAAGAATAAATTCCTGGTGTTTGCCCATCACAAGATAATGCTGGATGCAGTAGCTGCAGAGCTGAAGAAGAAAGTAAGTGGCTGATTTGTCTTAACTTTATCATTGTTCCAGCTTCAAAGCTGTTGAAAAGCCCCCTGGATTTGTGGCTGGTCAGATAGTTCAGGACAGTTAGTGACAGAGATGATTTCTACTTGCTGTGCTTCTGAGTGTGCCCTTCACCGAGGGAGCTGAGCTGTCAGGGTGAATGCCTCACAGCATGCATTTTGTATTAGCTGAATGACTTTTATGTATTTAATGTTCTTTAATTCCACTGTCTGCCCTGGAGCTTGTGAATTCTTGTGTTACCCTGTGTGGCCGTTGTTCTCCAGGCTTTCCTCAGAGGGAGAACTAGGCTACCCAAGCCCACCATCTCCGCCTGCCTTTACCTCTGTGGTGCTCTTACATTTTTGAAGTAAGATACTGTAGGGAGAGCTGATAGACCTGCCAGTCGTTTCTCTTGACTTCTCTTGTTTGTCTAACTTTTCATGTGAGTTTCCTTTGATGCTCCTAAAGCATGCTGGATCACACTGGGGCAGCGTGAAGAATGATTTAAGATAACATTCCAGACTATAACCCACAGTGGCACTGGTGACTTTGCTCAGTGGCAGCACTGGACATGGGATCCACTAAAACAAGGAAGGAATATACAAGAAAGGGGACAGCAGGTCTCTAAACAGCATCTTCTGCCCTCTCACAGCACGTCGAGCACATTCGCATCGACGGCTCCACATCCTCAGCTGAGCGGCAGACTCTGTGCCAGAAGTTCCAGCTCTCAGAGAAGCAGGCTGTGGCTGTCCTGTCCCTCACTGCTGCAAACATGGGCCTGACATTGTCTGCTGCAGATCTGGTGGTGTTTGCAGAGCTCTTCTGGAACCCAGGGGTGAGTGTCCTGGAGGGGACAGGGGTTGGATGTTCCCTGGAGAGGAGAAGTGTTGCTGATTAAGAGATATAATGGGCAGGCAACTTTCTCTAGCGTTTGTCTCTTTCTTTTTCTGATGTCTGCTGGCTCTGCAACCACAGGTGTCTGGGCTGGAACCTGTGAGGCTGGCTTACACAGCTTGCTGGCAGGGGAAGGTGGCACAAAAGGGAAACATGCTTCTGTCTTTATTTGACAAAGCTCTTAAGGGTTTGCTCCTGAAAGGGTTCATCATCAGTGCTGACCCTCAGCTTTGGAAAACTGTTCAGTGCCTTTTGGGAACCTGGTGTACCAGATTACTTCTTGGCTTACTCTGCAGGTCTTAAGGGGATCCAGATAAGAAAGAGTTGCTAAGCAGAAGTAGTGAGATCCTCTGTTCTTTGTGCTTACACTGTTTCTCAGATGTTGCAGTTTTCACTTTTTGTCATGTTTTTACGTTAAGATTTTGATCCAAGCAGAAGATCGGGCACACCGAATTGGACAGACCAGCTCTGTTAATGTTCACTACCTGGTGGCTAAAGGCACAGCAGATGACTACTTATGGTAAGAAGTGAGAAAGACACTTTGGTTCTCCTGACATATTTTCCACTGTTTGTTACAGATGTGGTGTGAGGGGTAATGCTGGTGCTGATTTCCACGGCCTGTGAGGGGAGGATCAATGTGTGCCAGGGCTGCTGCAAGCTGGTGGCATGGCCTGCCTGCAGTGGACATGAATGAGTGGCTGACAAGCAGGAGGAATAAAAGTAGTTACCTGACAAAGAAAGGGTTCTCAAGAGAAATTCTGGGAGAGTTGATGCATCTAAAACCTTCACAGTCTCTGTGTAAGGAGGAAGAATTGTCTTAGGTACCAGTCCAGAACATTCCTGTGCTAGGGAAGGTCCTGTAAAGTGCTGAGACTGAAATGAAGTCAGCAGACACAATGGTTCTCAGTGTATTGTAGATCAGTTCTGAGGAGTAGTCTGGCTGCTGTGTGCTTGGACAAGGAGCTGTGGAGGAGGACTGCACTGTTGCCTTCCTCTTGCTCTTCAGTGAGCCCTTCAAATAGATGTAAAAGCTATTGACCCACCTCTGGGTAGTTGTGGTTTGAGGCTTTTTGGCTTCAGTGAGAGTTAGCAGTGGACATTAGTCCTTAGGGCTGGGGAATCTGACATCTGGGGGTAGGCAGGATCTGAGGAATCTTTAGTGCTGCAAGGGAGCTGACCTGCAAATGATGACAAGAAATTATCCACCAGCTGCTTCATTTAAATCCAAAATCACATCTTTATTACCTTGTTTAAAGGAATGAATGAACTAAGTGAACTTGTGCAGTTCCCAGAATATCATGATGGCAAGTAATTATAACCCTACAATGCAAGGATCTGGAAACTGATGCATCACCCAAATTTCATGGAAAGTTAATGACAGTAATTCTGCCTTTATTTGTGAAATGCTGTCTGTGCAGTCATTAGTGCTTAATGGGGAAGAAATATGGCTGTCTAAAGGACAGTGGCATCTTTTTAAAGACAAGAAAGAGAACAAGAGGGCAAGGCTATTTGGTAAATGCACTAATTGTGCTGTGGCCTTGGCATCTTTCAGTGTCTAGTGTGCAGGTGTGGCTGGGACCTCTCAGCCTCTTGGGCCAGTGATGGATTCTTCCTCCTGCTGTACATTGGGAGTTATCCTTGAAATGCACCACTGGTGTTGCCTCAGTTAACTAGTTTCTCTATTGGATGTATGTGTTCTCCAAAGGTTTATAGCCCAAAATCCTCTAATTGTTACTAATTTAATTGATTGATATCTTAAGACAGCATACAGTGATTATAACCAAGAGCAGGACACGTTAAGGAACCAACAAAGTTTAGTAGAAAAGCCATCTTTATTCCCAGTTGTATCCTTTTTTAATCTACATAGTAAATGAAGCAGTGTCCTTGATTTTTTTTCCTTTCATTAATATCCGTTTATCACTCCTAGGCCAATGATTCAGGAGAAGATCAAAGTGCTGGGTGAAGCTGGTCTTTCAGAAACCAATTTCTCTGAAACAGCTGAGTCAACTAATTACTGTCCTAAGGTAATTGACCTGAAAGAATATTGGTGGTCCCTGGGAGAGGCTGAATGGGCTTTGGCTTGTGTACATCTAGATTGGCACAGGTGACCTTACACCAGTTCTGCCTTTAATGCCACAGACCAGATTGTTCAGCTCCTCCTTGGACTCTCCACAGAAGTTCCAACCTGCTACTTGCAAGGAGACCTGTTAGCATCCATGTCATAGATATGTCTTTGAGTATGTAGTGTATGAGATACATGTGGGTGTGTATCGTGTGAGGTATGATGTATACACACATGTGCACTGTGTAAGGGGAGTGTCCTCTGATTTTGCTCACTGTGTTTTACATGACAGTGTGGATGCAGATCCTCTTCTGTTCTGTTTCCTCAGACAGATCCAAAGCAGACGACAATCTTTGACCTTTTCCAGAAGACCTTCTCTGAGAGCAGAGATGATGCTGATGATGTTTTGTTTTTGGAGGCAGCTGATGCTGGCTGTGAGTTTGACTCTGGCAGTGCCCTGCAAGACAGAGAAGCAGAGGCACATTCAGTGAGTCCCAAAAAAAAGCGGCGTATTGAGGAAGTGTAAATGGTGACAGCTAAAAATAGCAGCTTAGAGATTATTTTTTTTATTAAAAAAGAAAAATCAAAAGCAATCACATATTATTTTTTGAATTTTTGAAAATAAAAGACTTGAAATGTTCTGTATCTCTGGCATGTTTCATCTCAAAGGATGAGAAGGCAGTCTGACAGTGTGACAGGTGTGCAGCACACACCTGGCAGCCTGCAGGGTTTGCAGTCCTGGTTTTGCTGATGACTGAATGGACATGGGCAAGTATCATTCTGCTCTGTTTCAGCATGTCAGCTTCCACAGTTGTTTTGTTTAAAAACATTGTCTTTCCCCAAGGCAGAACTCTTGAGAAAACCAACTCATCAGCAGCTGCAGAGTGCTTTTAACAATGTTTTCCCTTTCCAAAAGTCTGTTTTTCTAGGAGTTTGTTCACTGGCAAATTGGGCCATTACTTGGATCACTCACAGACTGGCTCTTGGGTATTCCATTTGGCCGTGAGGAAAAAAGATCCAAACAGATCTTGATGTTTTGTGGTGGTGGGGGAGAGGAGGGAAAAGAGGAAGTTACCACCTTGAGCTAAGTAATATAGCTGTTTGCCACTAAGTGTGCATTACCTGTTTTAGGCACATGTCTGCCTCGGCACACTCATCTCTGGCCTCATGCTGAATATTAGGATCTGCTCCATGGCATGTGCTGCTTCTATTAGCAGAGGGGGAAGCTTGTGCTGACTGCCAGGGGTTAACCCTGACTGGGGTGGGTGGGTGTTTTCTTCAGGACTTAACTGATTTCTACAGGTGAATGATGAGAAGGGGACACAGGCAGACTTTTGCTCTTGTTTTGTAAGAAACTGGTTCTGGACTGAACTGTTTAAATTAAAAAATTGTTCTAGGTTGTATACCAAGCTTTTGTTACTTCCTCTATTTTAGCATTCTCCCAGATAGCTGTGTTTTACACTGTAATCTGTAGAAAAGGTGGCAAACTGAAGGCTTACATTTAGCTCCTGGAGGCCAGTAGCTAACGTGCTGTGGAGGTGATGTGCTTGGCTCTGTGCAGGTACCAGACACTGACAAAAATACCTCTCTTGCAAGGCAGAGGAGAAAAATGTTTGTGCTGTCAGATCAACCTGGTAACATTAGGTATTCTTTCCTGCATTGAAGGGATTGATTGTTCCATTTTCAGCTGGTGAGGTCACGGAAATGCCCCACAGGCTGCATGTACAGTTGTGCTGCATTTCATTCGTGCCTGCAGATGGTGCTTTGGGGTGTGAGCAGTGGCAAGGGGTATTATGGCTGGGCAGCTGGAGGAAATGCTTTATCTCTGGGTTTGAGCCTGAGAGTTACCATCACTGCTCTTCAGCAGCTGCCCAGGTGATGAAGACACACTTTTTGACATTTTATAATGTCTGTCATCTTGAACACAGAGTATTTAATCTGTCTGTAGGATGAGTGATCTTTCTACTTGCAAAGTGGGTTGTTCTGAGTAAGGGGTGAGAAATGTTGCTGTCTGCTGACTGAAAAAAAAAAATGCAAAAGGCATTATTTGTGTACCCATATTGTTGTCTCCTGTAGGAGTAGTTCTTTTCTTTATAAAGCTGCAGCTGTTTCAAAACAATACTTTTCTAAGATACACTGAAAGTACCCTTGGAGAATTCTGCTTCTTATTAACTTGATTCATCTTGTCTGTATGTTGATAAATCCCAGCCCTGCTAGAGGAATGCCAGGTGAACCTTCCCTTTGTTAGAACATATAAAATCTCAGCTGGTTTGCTGCCCAGATACAGAGGTTTTTCAAATACACCTGAGATCCACTTTTTATCCTTACTACATGAAAAAGGGGAGAAGAACCTTGCAGGAAAGTGCTGTTAGTGATTACTTCAAGGGACTGGAGGGACTGCAGGCCTTACCCCAATGGCACCTTTAGTCCGTCATTTATATGGTGAGGAGGTGGCTGGGCAGCTGGCAGCAGGCTCAGACAGGATCTCAAGGGTTGCTGAAGAACTCTGCAAGGCATTGTGCAGAATGGGACCCACAGCAGGCTCGGAACATGGAGCACTCCTGGGCCTCCTGTACCTGCCATCTGAAGATAGTAGAGCTGTATCTTTTTGGCATCATCTAAAACCAGCAGAGGAAAGGGAAGGACCCATCTCACTGGATGTGGAGCATCCTGCTGTGGCTGGATGCCTGCTTGTACACCTGCATCAGTGCTCCCACTCGTGTTGGAGAAAGGTGTGTTTTCAAGGAGGATGCGAAAACAGCAACAACAGGTTAAAATACATCAGCAATAAACCAGAGCAGTTCCAACTAAGTGTTCAGGCTGGCTAGCTTTGTGACCTGAAATGTTCAAGGTGGTGGACTATCAAGCCATAGCTGTGCTGGCCTGTGTCCTTCATCTTCTCAGTCCCTTGGAAATAAATGTGTGTTTACTTTGGCAGTGCTGGGAATGGCTGTCACCCAGGGTGGCTGGGTTTGGTTATTGCCAGAGCTCTCTGTGACACTGGTAGATGATGGATATGACCATGTGCTGCTCTGTCACAGCAAACCTGAACTCTGTACATACAGAGCAGTAGATTCTCTGGATGTGTTGGCTGACAATTTATATTTTTTTAACCATATAGTCACTAGGCAGGAAAGGAAATTACTTTTTTTCTGTTTTCTAATACGTTGGTATCAAAGCTGTATCCTGTGAGTCATCATTGTGACGAGGATCTGAAAAGGGCAGATTTATTCGTAGGATATAGCAAATGAAATTTTGATTCAGCTGAGGGAGATATAAATACCATTGCCTAAAGCCTTGCTGAGCCCTCATCTCAAACATTGCTCTGGCCCGCCAGCTCCCACAAGAGCTTGCAGGGATGAGCAGGGAATGAGGAGCCTGGCATGACAGAGGGCATTAAAAATGTCAGTGTTCAAACCCTCAGAGCAAGAGCCAAGATGGGATGTGACATTTGTCCATGAGCATCTCTTAAAAGTACAGACCCCAGCCAGGGAACGTAACACAGTGGCTGGGTACATTCGATTCCTTGATTCCCTCTTAGCTAAACAGACTGCAAGAGTGCTGTCCTTGCTTGAGGCAGCCAGGGTGGGTATGGAGGAAAATTCCCTGCAGCAATTACCTGGGGCCTGGGAAGCTCCGGCCCTCTCCTGGTAGGAGGGGATGGACCAGAGCTGCCTCTGCACATGGAGTAGCTCTCAGGCTAACTGGATTACATTTCTTAATGGAGGCTAATAAGTTGCTAATCCCCTTACAAGCATTGCAGCTCCGTGGCACTACTGTATTTTTCCCTGTGTGTTTTGGGGCTCGGAATCACGTCTGAAATGGCACACGAGGGCTTTCAGGGCTGGTGGTTTCAGCACTGGCTAACCCCGAGGAAATTAGGAAATCAGGTTAAGACCTGACCTGATGCCAAAACTCTTGAAACCTCATGGTTTAGGGTTGATATGTTTTATTATAAGCATTCATTCTCGTTGATTTTTATATTTACTTTTTCTGCAGTTCTGGGCACGTTTTCTGTCCCTGTATTGACTTCCTGCTTATCTTCTTTAAAAACGAGGTGAGTGAATGGAACTGCCCAGTTTCCTTTTCTGCTGCGACTTCCCTCGCTGGAAACCCAGGAATGTGAGCTCCGGCGGTGCTGGCGCCCCTGCACCGCCTGGGTCTCCCAGCGTTCCACAGGATGGGTTAGGCTGAAGGGACCGCGCTGCTCATCCGCTCCAGCCTCCCTGCTCGAGCACGGCCCTGACAGAGCATACGGCAGTGTTGCAGTGAGGAAGCCCCCACACGCTCTCCGAGCAGCAGCGCACCGCCCTCCCTCTGTTGTCCATCCGTCTGTCCGTCCTGCGGTCTGTGCTCTGTCCGGCTGCGCTGCGGCGCGTCACTTCCGCCCGCGCCGGCCCGCCCGCGCCTGCGCACTGCCGCTCCCTCTTCGCGTCGACCCCGGCTAAAGATGGTGAGTGAGGCCGCGTCTGTCCGCCGCCATCCGCCTCCATCCGCGCCGGGACCGCCGTGCTGAGCCCGCGGGGCGCGCCCGGGGCAGCGCGGGGCTGGGGCTGGGGATGCACCGCGTCCCCGATCCGGCTCCGCGCTGCGTTGTGACAGCGGCTCGCTCTGTTCGGGCGGCCGGAGGGAGGCGGCCTGGGTGAGGGGAATGGCAGCCGGGCCGCGGGCACAGCGGGGCTGCCGCGCTCCGTGTCACCGCCGGCTGGCCCCGGGACGGACGGAGCTCTGCTCGGTCTGGGCGGCCCGGGGTGCCCGGCAGGAGCTGCGGGGCTGCGGCAGCACCAGACCGGTGGCATTTCATCGCCAGTGCTCCAGGGGAGGGCAGCGAGGAGCATTGGAGTACTGGAACAGCTCTCATGAGCACAGGCTGGGGCAGTTGGGCCTGTTCAGCCTCAGAAGAGGCGATTGAGGGTCTCATTATATAAATATATATAATTAGATAGTTAAAACATCGTACGAATATTATCTCTTTTCCTGTCAAGAGGCAGGAGCCAGGCTTTTCTGGTGGTGCCAAGCTGTAGGACAAACGGGCAGACACCGAGGCACAGCAAGTCCCTCCTGAGCAGGGGGATGAATTACACCGAGCACTGGATGGGCTGCGCAGTGAGGGTGTGGAGTGTCCCTCAGTGAGATACCCGGGAACCGCCTGGCTGCACTCCTGTGCCGTGTGCTCCGGGCCGGTCCTGCTTGAGCAGGCACGCTGGACCAGGTGGTCCCTTCCAGCCGCACCCTGTGCATACTCAGTTTTCCCAGGCTGCAGCCCGGCTGTAGGTGCTCAGCACTTAGTTGCCATGCTGGGAGATAGAAGCAGCGAGGAGAAAGCTGTCTCTGTAGGGCTGGAGCTCATTCTGGTTTGCCTCCCCACAGGCCAAGCGCACCAAGAAGGTCGGGATCGTGGGTAAATATGGGACCCGTTACGGTGCATCCCTTAGGAAAATGGTGAAGAAGATTGAAATCAGCCAGCATGCCAAGTATACCTGCTCCTTCTGCGGCAAGGTGAGAGATCTCCTTCCTCCCCAAAAAAGTCTTTAAAAATGACATTGTTGTTGATGCTAGAAAGGTGATTGGATGCATCAGTAATTTTTGTACTGAAGAGAAATGTGCCTGGTTCCAAGACAGGGATTAGTGTGTAGTGAGCTTTGGGCTGCTGTCAGAATCCTTGGAAAAGAGAGTAGACATTTCACATGAATGTTAAGTAGTAGTTTAATGAAAACAAACATTATTACATCTCATGATGTAGAACAGTGAACAATGTTGCCATATTATATGTTTTACATAATTAATAAAAGAAACCTGACAGACTTGAAGTATCACAGTTGTTATCTTGATAATTAAAGCTTAACTTGGACGTTTTTTTCCCTTCAGTAACTTTCTACAGCTTACCTGGCAGAGGAACAGAGTTTGCTTTTTCTACTTTAAACTTCTGATGGCAGTTGCCTACTTTTGTGTGCTGTATAACTCTGGATGGGGAAGAATTTCTGATAGAAAGTGATCTTACCTGCATGTGTACATAATTAAAATTTGCTGTTAGATCTAGTTTTTGACAGTTTGAAAGGTCCATCACCTTATGCTTTGCATAGATATTTTTATTGCTGTCTCTAGAGTAGGAATCTTTAAATTGTCTGGAAATGTAAAAATATTTTCATCATGGGGTTTTTACTTGCTTTAATTTGTTGTCGGGTTTTTGTTTGTTTTTAACTTACTGCCTTTCTTATATGAAGTGAGGATGTTCATAGTTTGCAGAGCTGCCTAAATCAGGCATAGGTGTGGGCAAGCCTGTTGTCACCTCTGCAGGGTGAGGGACACCTGCCTGGGGAGGGAGTTCTGTACCCAGCACTCACGCTTCAGATTCTCTTGGAAGTGTGTCTGGGTTGAGCAAGCTGGGCTTGCCCAGGGAGTCCCAGGCACAGTGGGGTTACATGAGCACCAAACCAGAGAGAATATCTGTTGTTATAACCAAGGTAGCTCCTTACTATTTTTCTCCTTCAGAATAAGCTGAAGTTTTGATGATGCCTTCAGAAATGACGCAGTTCATATCTGAATGCAAAAGTGTTTCAGAAGTGTCTGCAGAATTTGAGTAAAAGGATAGTCTATCCCTTTCGTGTCTAAACTTGGCTTGTAGGAGTGCTGTGAAGGCCTTACCTGAAGTTTCTTGTTTAGCTTTTTCAGCTGATTGAGAGTGACTTTATTTTTTTCCTTTTTTTTCTTCTGTTCCAGACCAAGATGAAGAGGAAGGCTGTGGGTATCTGGCACTGCGGGTCCTGCATGAAGACAGTTGCTGGTGGTGCCTGGACTTACAAGTAAGGAAATGAAGGAGCTCTAATCAGTATTTATTCTCACATAGCTGTGGCATAATGCAGCTTTTGACTTTTTTTTTTAATCTACTAATCATTAAGTGGATCTGTCTTGAGATAGTAATGGGGGAAGTTGCCTGTTCTGTTAAGTGTTCTGTCAAGATTTCATCAGTGTGGATCAAAGTCAATTTGATTGCTATTCTTTGCAATAGGCAAAGCCAGGTTTATTCCTTTATATAACAAGAAAAGTTATTTTCATGTTTTCCTTTGGTTGTAAAAGCCAAAAAAATTAATTAAAATTACCTTTATTGTGAGGGTGCAGTTGCTTACTCCTGTTGTTTACTCCCCACAATCCTGTAGAAGACACTCCTGCCCCACATGCATGTAGCAGTTGTGAGGGATCCGAGTCCACAGGCTGGTGCTCGTGGTCAGTGCATGACTGGGAGATTGGGGTTGGGATGCAGCCTCTGAAGTTCCATGTGGTTTGTGGAGCCAGGCCTACGCTGTGTTGTGAGGAAAAATTAATATCAAAGTGGAGTTAGACCCTGTTTGACAGCGCAGTCAGATGATAACAGTTGGAAATAATAAGTGCTTTCTCAAAAATAAACAACACCAGCACAGTTGTTCTGCCACATGCAAATGACTCTGCTTCTCCCTCCAGTACCACCTCTGCAGTGACAGTCAAATCTGCCATCAGAAGACTGAAGGAACTGAAAGACCAGTAGAAGCTACTTCCTGTTGTCCTTGTGAAACATCCTTTTTCCTGCACTGTCAAGAGCTATCCTTTTATCAATAAAAGGGTGATGATGGAGTGGAATAATTTTTGTCTTTTCTGCAAAAAGTCCTGTCTGTTATGTATGGTGAGTGCCAGGTGCCCACCAAACCTGCCCCATCACTGCCTTCCTCTACTGAACAAGGGAGAGAAAACAGAATGAAAGGTCTGTGGGGTGAGATAAGGGCAGGGAGAGATGCCTCACCAGCTGCTGTCATGTGCAAAACAGACCAACCTGGGAAATCAGTTTAATTTATTACCAGTTGTATCAGGGTAGGATAATGAGAAGTAAGACCAAATGTTAATTCTAATCACCCTCCCTTCTTCCAAACCCCAGCTTTACTCTTCTTGCCCTCCCCAGCAGCTGCACAGGGGGGTGAGGAAAGGGGGCTGAGTCCATCACGTGCTGACTGCTGCTCCAGCTTCCACAGGGGGAGAGCTCCTCTCAGTTCCTCTGCTCCAGCGCGGGTCCCTCATGGCATCCCAAGTCCTGCCAGCAAACCTGCTCCTCCTGGGCTCCTCTGCAGGGCACAGGTCCTGCCACAGGCCTGCTGCACTGCAGGCTTCCTGCAGTGTCACAGCCTCCTTTGGACAGCCCTGCTTCAGCATGGAGCCTCTGTGGGCTGTAGGGCTGGGATGGCAGAATAGAATTTAGAATAATTTGAGTGGAATGGACATATGTAGCTGTTTTGGTTAGCTATAGAAATAACAACATAAAAGTATGAAAAATACATATGTAAGTAAATAATGGGAAAAAAAGAGTAAATATGAAAAATATCACCATCCATGGACTTGAAGTCACCTTGATTGAAGGATGACTTCAATGTCCCTTAGTTGAAGTGATGGTTACAGTCTTTGTGGGAGGTTGTGGAGCCCCTGAAACACAAGAGTTCACTGGGTTAGTGTCTTCAGGTGAGGTGGCAATGCCCAGGTTCCTCCCCTGAGGGGGGTGGGGTGTCCACTGGATGTAACATTGTGGGTCATGTGCAGTCCAGGCCCTAAATGGGTCTGGGGGTGCTTTGGGGGTCTTTGATGGTTTATGAGCAAGCCATGGCAGCTGCTCACATCATCCTCGCTGAGGCAGGAATGAATGCTGCCATGCCTACCCGTGCATGTGAGTGTCCCAGTACCTTTCAGGGGAGGGAGGAAAGGGAAGAGTTTTACATCTCAGCCAGTGGTGTAAGGGAGGACATTTGCATGATAAAAAGCATTTTCCCATCTTGCAGGATCTGCTTCTTAATGCCCTTCTCCCTCACCTGGCTTAAAAGCCTTTTGTTGCTAAACAAAAGTTGGTTTAAAGTCCTGCACCTCACCAGCTGCTTTTGGAAAGGCTGATTGTGTCATTAACCCTTAAAATTCCAGTCTCTCAAAGGTGCCTGGAGCATCTCCTGTTTCTGCTGCAGTGGCCTGGGCACCTCCAGACCTGTTCCTCTCATACTCTCACTGCCCTCTCTGGCTGCAATTGCTGTTTGGGTTTTTTTCTCCTTTAATCTGTTACCCCAGACACCACCATCGCTGCCAATGGGCTCCTCCTTGGCGAGTGGTGGGAGACATTGGAGTGGGCTGACATTGGTTTTGTCAGGCAGGGGAAGCTTCTGGCAGCTTCTCCCAGAGGCTGCCCTGCAGCCCTCCCACTGCCACACCTTGCCATGCAAACCCAGTGCACTGCTCTGTA